CTGAGGATATTGAACCGACTCCAACTCGTGGCTACTCGAAGCGCGGCGATGGCTTCTCAGTGCAGGAAACGGAGGGCTTGCTGCAAGAAGTGCGTGAGAGGTGGCAAGAGGGATGGGACGTCATCGCCGAGGTGCACAACGCCCAGTTTCCGGGCCACAAGCGCTCCGCTGGCTCGTTGAAGCGCAAGTTCGCAAAGCTCTACCGCACCAAGATCGATTCTACCACCAAGGAGAAGCATGCGCGCGCTGCTGCGATGGCGAAAAAGGTGCGTGAGGAGATGCGCGGCCAGCGACGCGGTCTCGCCGCCTCCACACGCTCGTTGGGCGAGGACTTTGTAGCAGAGACCGACCCTGGTGTGGGCGTGCAGGAAGTGCACACAGATCTGAACGATGTCGAGATGATCACGGCCCAGCCAGGTACGCAGCCGCAAACGCTACCTGAAGCTACAGTGACGGCTAGCGAGCACGAGCTACGACAGACACTATCGCAGAGCGTGCCCATGACCCAAGACACGTCGGATGCGTGGCAGGCGGCCATCGGTCGCTGGCCGGTTGCAAGCGAACCATTGCGTCGAATGCGGTCACAGATTGAGAACGGTGAGGCCACGTCGAGCCAGGATCTAGCGCAGACTGTGCTGCTTGTGCTGCTGGAGTCCCAGCACCAGCGTGACCTGGAGCGGGATCAGGAACGTGAGGAACGTCGACAGGAGAGACAGTGCTGGCAAGAAGAAATGCGCGAGCAGCGTCGTCGACATGAGCAAGAACGTATGGAGGACCGACGCAGAAATGAACAGTTCATGCAGGTCATGACCACGCTCGTGGCGCAGATTGCTGCGGGGCAACAGCAGCGAGTCGGCTTGAACTGAGTGTCGTTGGTGATGAGGTAGGAAGGTCGATTTTCATGCATGTGGGACTTGCCATTGCAATACGGGGCAAGGCAGTATTGCACTGCAGCGCGAAATGCACCAGTTGTGATGGACTTAACATTGATAATAGTAAGCGGTGAGCATTTTTCCGCCCCTTCGAGTTGTATCCCCTTGAGGCTTTCACGTCTTCCGTTAAGAGCGTCCGCTTTTGCTTCAACCTCCGTCGTCAAGGATACCCATCAACTCGGTCCATATTGTTATGGTGTTACACCGGGTAGGCGGTAAAGCTCGCGTTACTTACTCTCGTTCTTTTTGAGAAGCAGCTTCTTCGGGTCGGTTGATCAACACCGACCAGCACCATACCAGAATTCAAGCCGTAGAGTGGCCTGCTCTTCTCCACTGATATTATGCGACGAAAGAAGGAATTTATTCGTAGCTTCTTAGGTGCCAAATAGAGGAATTGGTTTGCTGAAAGCAAGCCCTTGACACGTGAGCGTAAGGCCTTACAAGACATTGGCTTCCCTGATTGAGCAAGTCCACAGTTTATGGAGTATTTGAATGCACACTATGTCGTGAGGCTTACTATAAAGAGCACTATTGTCGTTTCAAATCATTACAAGTACAGCGATTAACGAGCGTTTGCTTGAGATGAAAGGTGGCGATACTATCTCTGTTCGCGTCCTGGGACCGATAAAAACTTGATACGCAAAGTCTGTCTTTCGAGTAAAAGGACAAGCAGGCAATTAGCGTGCAAACCTCTTCGATGATTGCTTCGAGACCGATACAATGGCGAGTGTATGTGTGTGTGTGTGTAGATCGAACTCACATACACATCATACCTATTGAAAGCAACTCCAGCGAGTACGCGGGCCGAGGCTGCTCCCAGCGTTTTAGCTCTGGCAGCCGAAAGTAAGAAAGAACGATTATGATGAAAAGTAGACGATTCAGTACCATAACACAAAACCAGAAGGTTCGTCCAGCGCTCGCTCAACACTCAGTGTCTCGCTGTTGGGGGGCACTGTTCTTGCCTACGAGCACCGTCATCATCTGCATAAACTGCTCGTGTCTGCGGCGGTTCTCAGCGCGCTCTTCGGCACGCTCTTCACTGCGACGACGTCGCTCTTCACGCTCTTCATCACGCCGACGGTCCTCCTCCTGTCTCCGCTGCTCGGCCTCTTCCCTGCGACGTTGCCGTTCCTCATCTCGACGTTGTCGCTCCTCTTCTCTGTCAAGGTCACGCTGGTACTGCGAGCGGAGAATGACCTTGAGTACCGACGTCAGCAGGTCGTCAGTTGGTAGCGGCGTGGCATCCGGAGGGAAAACCGCTGGGCTCTGCCACTCAGTAGTCTGACGTGGCACCCGTGCGCGTGGTCGCGGGGCTGAAGCGGCTGTAGGTGGCGTAGCAACCGTGGCTGGGACAGATACCGCCGCCGGAGACGACGTAGCGGCAGCCGGCACTTCGGCCGTGTCCACCCAGTTGTGTTCCGTTTCAGCAGCTCCTTCCTGCGTGCGCTCTTCGCCTTGTGGTGGCTGAAACGAGGCCTCACTGGATTCAACGGGTGTCTCGCCGTCAACGCTGGACACGGCTGTACCTGGCGCGGCCGGCACGCCCTCGATCATCTCCTTGTGCACGATGTGGGCGAAGGTAATGGCTTGGTGGTTCTTGGCACCGCGCGGCGGGATGTTGGAGCGATACAAGCGCGAGAACTTTTTCTTGAGCGAGTCTGCCGAGCGATTATGCTTGGCGAACTGCGCGTTGTGCAGCTGCGCAATGACATCCCAGCCCTCACGCCAACGACTACGAACCAGTTGCAACATTCCCATGGACTCCGCTTCTGTGAAGCCGTCGCCACGGCGCTGCACGTGTGCGCCAAGTCGCCGCTTCACCTCGGTCTCCATGACTTCCTGCGGGGAAAAACGTGCAGCCATTATCTTGAATTTGGGGGGAGCTTTTGAGAATGAATGGGTGGATCAAAATTTTGCGCTGAACTTGGTAGTGTCATTTCGATACGTTTGATTGGAGTAGAGTAAAGTCGGACTAATATACAAAGTGTAAATCAATTTTGGGCGCGAATATGGCCTTCACAGATTTGAATTATCTGGTATGTTGAAGTTGCATCTGGCGCCAACTTTGAATGGATCGCAAAAGATTCCATTTCATTTCAAATTGTGGAAACTATCCCAGAAATGGGCGCGCAGTGGATGTCAGCCACCAGGTGATACACTTTGGGGGCATACGACTTGACCCTTTCCACGTGCTCGCACGTGATGGTCCAGTGTTTGCCATACTGCTTGGCCAGTGCCCGCATCGAGTCCAATACGTGCTGCTCCCACGTCTCACGATCCTCCACGGCCACGTTGTCATGCACGTGGAACCAGCCGCCACTGGGCTTAAGCACCTGGACAGCCAGAGGCCAAGCCTTCTCGCTAGTGGGCAAAAGACCCAAATTAACACGGTCAGCCACAGCACCTATTGTGGGGGCAGACTCCCGGTTGTCGCCGAGGTAAACCTTGCATCTATCTGCTACATGGTTGCGCTCTAGGTTGAAACGCAGCGCTGCCACCGAGTCTGGGTTCCACTCGCACGCGTGGACGAACGCAGCGCCACCGTGCACGAGAAAAGGAAGAACATAGTATCCGATACCGCAAAATAGGTCGACGATCGTCTCACCGTGGCACCCGATATTAGCCATTCTGGCCTTTTCGGTAACGTTGCCAGACGAGAACATGACTCGTGTGAGGTCCCATCCGTAGATAATGCCATTCTCACGAATCTCGACCCAACCAGGAGCCTCCTTGCTACGTTGTGAAGTTAGGGCCTTTTCGTTCACGTACAGGAGCTCAACGTGACTCTGACGCTTCTCGCTGGCATCAATAAAAGCTTTCCGTGCAACACGTGAAAACGCAGGTGTAGTGGACGCACAGACGTGTGCCCACATTTCATCTGCAAACGATGCCCACTCCGGTTCGAGGAAAGAGTCCCGCGGGGTCAACAAGACATCGCTTACAAACTCGAATTTGTCTGGGATAGTTTTCACGATCGTGGGCGGGAGTTGGTGCTTACTAGCAAACGCACCGATGGCACTGCGGATCACTTCGTTGCGGTTCAGTCCACTCGTCTTGCCAAACTTGTTCGCGTACGCATCATCGTCAGATACAACTTCGAGCTTTTTCAGTTCAGCGTCGTTCGTTGAGGCAATGAGCTCATAAATTGTTGCTACAACAGGAAGCAAAAACATCGTTGTTGGCTTCGAATCCTTATTCGTCTTTATGATGTTTGCAACGTGGACACGGCGGGACTTGTCGTAAACGTGCGCTTTTTCCATCAATGTCTTCATCTTCTTCACTTGCAACTTCTCAACGAGAACACCAAGCGGTTTATCACCTGAGGAGGTTGATAGAGTCGTAGTAAGCGTGTTGACGAACTGACTCTTGCCATCAGCAGAAGGAGCTCTCTTCGGCGTCACTATCGAAAGTTGGCACTGGTACGTTGAAGAATAAAACTGTCCAAAGCCAAAGCACTGGAATCCACCGCCCAATACGTAAAGAGTATTGCTGGTCGACAACCACGTCGTGCTGTGGCCAACAAAAGCTGCATTCTCGTGCTTCACTTCACCAATCTCCGTCCATTGTGATGCCTCAATGTCCAGTAAACACACCTTTTTGGTCGCCTTGTCTCCATTTGCAAGCAACTCAGACGTCATACCACCCACCACTACAATCTGGTGATCGTTTATTGAGCAGGCGCTGGCAGCAAAAAGCGCAGGCGGCTGCATTTTGTTTCTCGTATTTTCGAGGCTTTTGTGTTCCCAGGTTTCCTTGATCGTATCGAATAGCAAGCACGCGCCGCTATCCTGCTCGTCACTGCAGTCGCCGGTCTCCAATGACGACATACCTCCCCAAAATGCAAGCATTGTCGAGTTGACAACTGCACCAATGTGATCAAATCGACGTGGGTTACTGGAAGAGCTCTCTGCGAAAGCAATAAACACAAATTACAGTAAGTTCTCTTAACAAAAGGCACATATGTGGGAAACAACAAAGATTACCAATTTGACGCCACTGCGGCGGATTCTGACTAAGATCCAGAGCAAATAGGTCTCCAAAGACCTGCTCAGCACTGCGACCACCGTAAATGTACACAACAGAACCGACTGTAACCACATTAAAGCATAAAAACAAACAGTAGTTAGCGCTTCATTCCATTTCATCATCAAGAAAATAGTCTTACCTGCACAGCTGCAATGCTTCCAACGCGGAGAAGGCCCAGCTCCTTGCGAAACGATCTTCTCCCACTGCTTTGATTCAAGATCCATTGCATAGAGATCGCTCAGGGGCTTTGCTGGACTTGCTCGGCCACCGAACACAACCATGCGCGTTCCCACAACAACAGCTGAGTGATACATTCGAGCCGACGGGCTATCCGAGCCGGCCACCGCGTGGTGCGTCTGCTGAAGAGTATATTCCTTCGAAGGTGTCAAGAAGGTCACGTCGGCAACGCGAGTTGTCGTTCCAGACGTAGTTGGCCCCTGGCCACCGAATACAACAATGGCACCACCGTACTCCACACTGGAATGACCCACGAGCTTAACGCTGTCCTCGCTTGTCACCTCCGTCCAGGAGGTCAGATCAACCACAGATCCGTTTCCTGTCATCGAACTCGCAGCCGGCTGGCAGAACTTAGCGCGGAAAGCTTCAAAAAGTCGATCCGTCTTCAGCTTGTTGGATTCAAACTTCTGGTTAGCGATATCCACGATCCACCTGAGGTAATCCTTGTTCACGAGCAGTTGCTCCGCATTTCGACCAAGTGGGATCTCTAACCCGTTGGCCGTCGTGCGGATCGCACACATAATCTTTCGGTTGCCAAGCACAACGCCTGATTCACGGAATCCACTCGCAATACCCCATTGCAGCAACTCCTTTGCCGAGTCCAGATCGCGACATACCACGTGCATGATGAACGGTTCATGCTTAAAGATAATCTACAGCGACAATCAATTTCGGTTAGTCGCCAGCAATAAAATTGAGCCGTTTTAATGGCAACAACGCACCATATTGCTGGTGTTGGAAGTGGCGTCGGGCGAGCGCAACGCAGTCGCCAATTGGTCGAACGTAATGGTGGCATGTTCTGCAACTAACCACTTGCCGCCTTTAGTGATCAGGTCCGTGCCAGCTTCGCCCCCATTGTTTGTTGCAGCTTCACCGCAGAAAACCGCAATGCGCCCCGAGCACGAGCTGCTCGTCACCTGTGGGAGTCGAGGCGAGTTAGTACAATTCCATTGCAGAATGCAGCAACCAACTACCAGCAACTCACGTAATCCGGATGCGCATTGATGGTCTTAATCATGTCCACAATAGGCTCATCGATGCAGCCCTTGGGACTCTTGTCCTCCATGGCCTGCAGCTTGCGCAGACTCTCGCGCTTGAGCTGCGCGAACATGGTCCAATCAAAGCAAAAGCGTAATGTGTAGACTTAATTTTTGGTACATGTTTGGCAAATTTTGCCAAACAAAAATTCACTTGAAGGATCCCAATTTTTTTGTTTCGCCAAATTTATAAGAATAACATCACAAAATATAGTACAGTACAAAAAATAGTTAGCTTCATCATGGCGCAGCCGAGTATCCGCGTCCACGGTGTGCGCGCGAACAAGCGCCGCACACTGCCAACAGACAACGGAGGCGTATTCTTTAGTGAGTCGCAGTACTCTTCGTCGCCATTTCTCGTCCGTGTGACGTTCGACAGCGTCTCATTCGTGCATCGCGGGACACACGTCGTGGAGCGGCGCTTTGTCTTCCCAGGTCGCGTCTTGCACGCTGTACTGGCGGATTTCTCTCCCGAAGTATTAAATGATGTAACAACACAAGCTATTGGATCTTCACCAGGCAGAAGAGCTCGGAAAGCGTCGCTAAATCCTCATTTGCACCCTCATTTATGCGTTCTGGTGCGTTCCGACTGCTTAAATGTCTACACCGCAGGTGGAGAAGTGTTCGAGGTGGCGCTGCCGTTCCAGGCCAACAAACTATTACCCATGGATGGACGGGGCTTACTGTTGCAGCGCAGTCCGGCGCCACCGATCCCGTCGTCGTCGTCAAAACGACCCAGAGATGCTGCAGCAATGGCGCTGGCCCGGAAAAACCGACGCGCCAGCACGAGTAACAGAGGGGATGGGGATAGATACAAGTACAGCTCTGGGGACAAGAGCGCACCGGCGAGACCACGTTATTTTACACTCAGGCACCCGCTAGATGAGGTCAAACCTGTGGCGTTAAGTGCAGTGGGAGGGAAAAGTGGGGACAAGTTTCTCTCGGACTCGGCGTTGGAAGCTGTGGATGTACTGGAGGTTGGCATGTCGGCTGTTTTGGTGGTGTTCCATCGCTGGGAACAGAGGTTTTGTGTTTTTCGGATGAATACGGTGCAGAAGTCGACGAGCAGCTTGATGCCGGAGGTTAAAGTGGTGGATGGCCCGACGTGGACGAGATATAGAGCTAGAAGTGACTTGGAGGAATTACGCGTGCGGATTGAACCGGATTGGACGGCGACGATGCTGTGGAAAACGCCCCGTGTTGGACCAGCGAATTCTAAACCGATGTTTTTGTCGCCGATTGCTTCGGTTCCTTCTCTCTTGACTGCTTCTCCTGTTACACCATTGCCGTTAATGAACAGCATGTCGTCAACCTGTTCGGGAAATGTTACCAAAGTAACATTTATTGCGTCAGACGTCGATGGACTTCCGTTGCTGTGCATAATGGACAAAGATGCTGGAACACTTCTTATGACACCATTCTCACAACAAGAAAACGCTACGGCAGTGCCTGGCGAAGGTGATAATGAAATTGGTAGCGTTCGTATCTTGCACTGTCGCAACGCGGTTCCAATCAGGCAGCGTAGTCAAGCAAAATCATGTGAAGGTGGTGAAGATCAAGATTTTGAAAGTTCTATCGATATTGTGGTGCTTGAAAAGGATGGCACTCTTGTCCTATATAGAGCACATCTTCCTATTTGCCGCCTAGTCCTTCCTGATGTGGAGCAGAATGATGCTGGCACTGTAAATGTAAATGGTTCAGGGAATATGCGCTTGAATGCCAACCTACAGTTAAACTCTATATGCAAGGGTGACGCCTACGAAATCGTGTATCCAGATCTGTATGGTTGTTACAATGGGAAGATCTGGCGATGCGAACATCCGTTAAAGATCGCGAGCTCGCCGCTGTTACGGCAAGCTTTTGATGTGCTGATGTGCATAGTCCCCCCGACAGAATTGAGGGCGTTTAAGGCGCAAGTAATTTGCAGAGCACAACAGAAAGCTCGAACTTCTGTGCAAGCTGACGACTTCACGAGTGGTGGGTTTGAATGGCAGTCTTTCTGCGAGAGCATCATCGGTCTGTTGCCGTACCAAACAGTTGAGAGAGACGAAGCTCTGGTGTCTGACGGAGTCGCTATTAAGGATGACGAGATGACTTCTGCTGTTTCAAGTTCGTCATCGTTTGATGCGCTTTGCCTGAGTCATTTTCATGACGTTTATCAATACGAGCACGCGATGCTGTTCGCCACAATGGAGCTTCCCGCTGTGGAGCCCAGCCTCAGTGATAATCGTGCTACTAGCCTGGAAAACATGCAACGGAATGAAAAATACTCGCTCATGGAAGAGTATGTGGGAGCAATATTTGCAGGGCTTCACTTGCTCTGCGAAGATTCTAAGTTGTCAATTACGCTCTTTAAAGAGCGTTTGCATCTAGCAGAGTTACTGTTAAAAATGGCTCTGCGACTGAAGCTGGATCCTTTTGTTGCGTATTATAATGATGATCATTGCGTTCTACAACACCGAGCAGTACCGACAGAGAAAAGCTCGAGGTTGAAATTACATTCCAAGACCGAAGATGGAGGATTGCTTGGCTTTAAGAAGTATGGATCTGTGCCAGACTTGGTCTTGTGGCTTAAAGACAAGATGACAGCAAAGTCTCACACATCAGTGGAGTTCCCTACGCTTCATAACGCAGTGCAATCGTCTGGCAGCTTGTCTCGGCACCCTGATAACCCACTTCGGCGCACGAGAGCGATCTGCCGTGTATTCGAGCTCATTTTTTCAAGCTCAGCAGAGAGGGATCCTACTACACAGTCGGATGCTTTCAAGCTGATCGTGTATCTCACTCAAGATCCAATCGGTAGCGCATTATCATTGGACGATCTTCCTGTTGGTCTAAGCTTTCCTATCGTCCAAACGATCCGCCAAGTGAAGCACCACCCGCCTCCTTTTATCACCGAAGACGTTTGTGCGTTTGTGGGACGAGAAGATCTCAGTATCGCAAGCGCAGAAAATCTGACCGACCATTTCGACTATTCTGAAAACCAGCAACAACATGATTTTGCGAGTAAAACTGGAGACATGAGCTTTCAAGCCGAAGATGAGTACCGCGATGACTGTGACGGTCTCGAAGACATTACAAGTCGAAGTCAGCCGCTTTTCCCTACCGACCAGAGAATGAAGGAAGTCGCTCGACTGCTTCGCTCGAGTCGCCCTCTGTGTTTGAAGTTAGAAAAGACGCCGGATTTGTCGGATCTCGACTACGCGCAGCAACAACAATCTCGCTTGTTGCTGCTGTGCAAACGATCGATGGCGCTGTCCGTTGCACGTGGCATGGTCACGCTTGGGAGTTTTGATGTTTCTACAGCACAAACTCAAATTTGGCGACTTCAAATTCCTGCGCTGCCCCTTCAAGGTCGGAAGCCACCAACAAATGCAATTGTGGAGCTTGATCTGTCCGGCTATGCTAAAGAGTTGACGTATTGGCCTCAATTCCACAACGGGTGTGCTACAGGGTTACGACTTCCAGCACAAGACCTCTCGGGCGTCATTAATCGTCATTGGATCAAGTATCACCGACCGTCAGTGAATGATACGCAGCGAAGCCCAGGCGGGGCTCGACAAACTGCAACGACCCAGTCAGCTGATACTACCGGTCGTAATTTGGAGGAGGCATATGCAGCACATGCAGGGTTATTGCTGGGAATCGGTCTGCGCGGTCATCTTAAGTGCTTGTCCATGGCTGATGTATACAACTACCTGTCGCTGTCAAATGAGTTCGTGACTGTAGCAATCATGCTCGGCATGGCGAGCACGGCTGCACACTGTCGACGCAAGCGAAAGCAGGCTGCAGCAACAAAAAAAAAAAAGGTTGGCACTAGTGATGATGGAAGTCACGCGTCACCATCTAAAAACGCCGAGGAGATGACACCAGTTGAGACAGATCAGTTCTTCTCTAATTTCTCCGAGCTTTCATCGTCAGATCAAACGCCTCTATTAGGAACGGGCCTAGAGTTGGCGCTGGAGCGATCAGTATCCAAGATGTTGTGTCTTCATGTGCCGTCATTGCTACCTTCGCCATTCGGGGGATTTTCAGTGCCAGCATCTACGCAGACAGCGGCATTACTTGGACTTGGAATTTTATACCAAGGCACAGGTTATCGACTGATGACAGAACTACTACTCGCCGAGATAGCGCGTTCTCCGTCGAGCGCTCAATTTGTGGGAAGCAACAGTAATGCAGGATTGTCGACGTCTTCGTTTGATCAACTGGAGGGATACGCCTTGGCAGCAGGGATGGCACTCGGTCTTGTCGTGCTTGGACGAGGCCAAACTACATCAGGTGACCCTGGCCTTGCTGATCTCAAGCTGGAGGAAAAGCTTCACAAGTACATTGTCGGTGGCGCACAACAGTACCGGGATGCAAATGCAGCCGGGAGTTGTCTGTATCGAGGTCGTCGTTGGCATCGGTTTGGTAGTGGAGGCAATGGCATTAACGCTGCGGTTAATGGCAGCACCACAGGTAACGGTACACCCAATAACATGGCATCATCTCCTGGCGCTGGTCGCGATACAAAACACTCAAGCGATCGCAGTGGGGCTCGTAGTGGTGGCGAGCACGTGAACATCGGGGTGACTGCCTGTGCTAGTGCTCTGGCATTAGCCTTCATGTACATGCAGACGAATAACAAGGCGGTGGCGGCACAACTAGTGGTTCCCGATACGCTTATCCTTCTGGACTATGTTCGCCCCGACATCCTGTTGGTACGCACGCTGGCAAAGAACTTAGTAATGTGGAACGGCATCTCTCCGACAACGGAATGGATTGAGCGCCATGAAGTCCCAGCACAGCTTCTTCAAGCGTACAAGTCTATTCAGATGTATGGCGGCGACGTAAGAGGAGACACCAACTATTTGAGGGGCTCGTCGTCACATTCTGACCTCCACTCCATTTGCGAGGCCTACGCAAACATTGTTGCTGGAGCATGCATGAGTGTTGGGCTACGGTTCGCTGGAACAGCAAACTCGTCCGCTCGGACCACACTGCGCAAGTACGTTCTTCACTTTCGTGAACTAAGATCAAAGGCTTCATCTTCGTCGTCTTCGATGATTCTGAGAGGAAGTAGCAGTGTTGTTGCTGCTGCGACGGAGCGGGCAACTATTGAACGGTGCTTAGCGGTGTGTGCACAGGCACTAGCTTTAATTGACGCAGGAACGGGTCATGTTGAGACGCTGACACTGCTGCGTTCGATAACATTGCGGCAGCGTGTGGACGCGGCAATGAGCTATGGCAACCACATGGCTCTGAGTATGGCGATTGGATTGCTTTTCCTCGGCGGAGGACGTGCCACTGTGTCACGATCGAAAGAGGCTATTGCGGCGCTTGTGATTTCACTCTATCCGATGCCACCCATGAATACGGCTGATAACAAGTACCATCTACAGGCTTTCCGTCACCTTTACGTGCTGGCAGTTGATACGTCGAGGCTGCTGGAGACTGTGGACGTGAATACTAAAAGGACTTGTGCAGTTCAGGTCCGAGTGGACCTCCATCCTGGTGAAGATGACTCGGTGGATGATACGCAGCCTTCGCACCGGGTACATCGAAGCCCATGTCTTCTTCCAGAGATCACAACGATCGAACGGCTTGTCATATCCGACCCTGAGTTCTACCCGCTTGAAATTCTTACACCGCACTCTGATGATCGGACATCTTTGGAGACTGGCAAAATGAAAACTGCTAATTCTCTACGGTTGGAACTGTTGCGAAGCAAGAATGTAGTTTTCCTGAAGCGCAGACATCGCAAAGACTTAAGATATTTTACTGGTTTTACGGAGGAATTGGAGCACCTGCATGACCGACACGAGTATCACAGTGGCGGTAGCAACGACAATCGATTGAGGAGACTTTTTCGTGCGTACCTCATGAGTACTAACGGTGACGATGACGACTGTGAAGATGTTGAGGACGAAGGAGATGTGGCAGATTGGGGCGGCAGTTGGTGGGCAACGCAGTTGAGCCCACGGGCGCTGGAACATGTCAGAGACGAGGAGCAATTGCTAATGCCATCATATCTGAACGCATTACATGCACTCTTTCGTCTGCAGCAAGTGCCACAGCTGGCAAGTGCTATCGAAGTCGTCGACCTAAACTTGTTCAGCGAGTACTGCTGTTTACAAGGGTCGCTATTGGAGACATTGCCGCCTGAGTCGAAAGATGAAGGGAAAACTCAACTCGTGAATGTGTCTGGAGGAATCGCGGAGAAAAGATCTTCGCTATCCGAGTTTGGTGTATGGCTCTCGAATCAAACCGAAGAGGCTCTCAGTGCTCTGTGGCGTCGAACCTCGTTGGATATTTCTTCTCTCGCTTCAGCACGGGTTCACCTATTGGAACCTGCGTCGTGTTCATCGCATGGGAAGCGTGTGGTCGATAGATTTTTCGTCAGTGTGTTGATGCGGTACTTCGGCGGTCCTTCGGCGTCCTCGCTACTGATTAGACTTGCTGAGCAGGACTGGAGAACCAAGTTTCAAAGAGTGCTGGCCGCTTGTTCACAAGCCCAGCGACATGCAGGGGGCACACAATCGCCAGCACGATTTCAGTTGTCTGCTTTTCTTGACCAAGATGAGCTCACAGAAGCGGAAAAGACCTTCTGGCTCAAGTTGGTATCATTCTTCCTGTTCTCAAACTAACACCAAGTGAATGATGACAAGAAGTTGTTATCTGTTTTGCTAGTGCTATTTAGTTTTTATTGCCTTGCAGTCTTGAACCGAAGTGGTTGCGTGAAGATGGCAAATATCTCCTGATCTGCTCGCAAGTGTTTTCCTATCTATTCACCCCGAACCTACAAAAAATTGAGTGCTCCATCTTCATCTGGAATGGGGCTGGCCGTCGCCTGTAGTGTCTTGAATGGTGGCAGTTCGCGCGCCTGGAGACACGTACACAACACATGAGGTCCGCTCGCTGATCAATCAGAAAGCCCGCTGGTCACCAGTGTCGCCTCGCTGCTAAGCTTTTGTCCTGGCTGTCGAGAAGCATCCGCGCACGTCCTTGCCGCTGTTGCTACCTCTACATTTTTTTTCTTTGTGGGAACTATTTTCTCTTTTTTTTTTCCTTCATGGTATGCCATGATGTTCCTCTTTTCTTTTTTTTCTTTTTTGCCACACGCCACCACTGCAACCTTCTCAATTCAGTTTGGCAAAAGTGATTTTCATTTTACGTCTCTTGCGCGGCGACGACACGGCTGCAGGAGCCGCTGCCAACTCCACAGGCTTCTTCATCACCTTTACAGGCGGCGAAGTCATCCCTCGAGCTGCCGCGCCATTTGTCGACGTGTTGACAGAGTTCTCACCCAACGGTTTCCCGTCCAGGCTACCAACTCCAGCCACAGCTTTGCCATCACGGTCACGCTTACCTGTCTTTTCTGGCGATGTCGTCGACGCCACCATCTTCGCCTTCACCGGTGTATTGTTGACTGAATCAGCGCCGTTCACGTCACCTCCATCAGCTGCAGGATCAGGACTTCCTGGTTGCGAAATGCTGCCCTTGCCGCTCGCCATCTCGGTTGCAAGTGACGCAGCCTTCTGACTGCACGTTAAATCATCTCCATCTTCTTGCGAGTGCGTACATTCGTCACCCGAAGGCGGAGGACTCGGAGCAGCAGCCTCCTCCGCCTTCTTCTCCTCTTCTTTCTTCTTCTTCATGAACTCACGACGAGCGACACGTGCTACAGTTCGTCCGCCCATGTCTTCGAACACACTCTCCGGCAACGCCTTCCACAATACTGGAGTAACCCCCACGTCCATAGTGGGAGTTCGTTTGTTCCAGCGGTAGAGGTCGTTGTTCTTAAAGTAATCCACTGAACTATCGATGCTCACTTCACGACTACGCAGCTGGCGACGATCAATATCAAAGCCCACATAAAAGCAGACACCGAACTTGCTTGGTTGAGCTGGGGGCTGGCCGTTTGACTGTTCACCAGCCGGAGGTTCGCCACCAGTCACGTAAGTCAGGGGAAATTTCTTTGTGAACACACGCAAGCGACATAGCGCTGGGTTATACGCCAACGACTCCACCAGTTTGCGCATACGGGACTCGCAGAAACTGCACCATGCCTGCTCCTCTTCCTGGTTCTCTGTGTACACCTCGACTGCGAGGTAGTGTTGGTGGATGGCGAAAAATTCAGAAGGCTCGAACAGCGGTCCCCATTCCGATCCACCCTTGCTAAGCACGTCCTGTACAATGGTCAAGCCGCGCTTAAACTCTTCCTTCATCACCGCCAGACTGTGCGTCGATACATTAAACGAAGAGTTCATCGACGGGTACGCCGGCGTCAGGATCGGCATCACTTGGTAACTAATCAATAACACTATCATATCAGTAATGTAACACAGATCTAATAAACAAAACAATATTGAACTCACCGGTTGTGGCCCGCATTAGCATTCCAGACTTCCAGGCCGAGGTTGGCATCGTGGGTTTTGCACAGTTGGATGGCCAGCGGCCACTTCCAGTTGTTCAGCACCATGAAAAAACGCAGCAATAAAGTTGAGGGTGCCGCTGTCGGGTACAGCTGGTTGATGAAGCACACCAAGATGCACCAATTGACACCACCGAGGTATCCCATCTTGTTCGAGTACAGCCCGCGTCGTTTGGCCCATCGTCTGACGATTCTAAGCACGCTGATGAAGCTCTCCCGGTTGGGTGTCAACTTGATCATGAGTTCCGTGACTCGAGGACCGTTGAGACTCTTCTCCGTGGCTGGATCCACTCCAACAAGCACGTGATCGTCCAGTATATTGAGATTCTCTGGGATGGAGTTCCGTGGCAAGATGGCAATCTGCAGATCGATGTTAATCTCCTCGTAGTCAAAGGTGATCAGGGGTACGATGGCGCCTTCGATAGCCACGAGCTGTGAAACCTTTGGATGTTTCAGGAAAATCTCCTTAAGTGAAGAGAAGAAATCCTCGCGCGTCACGTGGCGCGGGGCCACGCAGATAGTATCGATATCAGCTCCAGGCTCGTTGACGCCGAGTCTGTAGGAACCCGAGACGAGGATCTGGCCGCCTGCATCTGCCGCCATCTCCTCTGGAACGCCTTTCTCCATACAAACCTGCTTGACCCAGGCGCGGAAAATGGAACGAAGTTCGGCTAGGATCAGAGAACGGCGAGTGATGTTGGCGTCCGACTCGGTAGGGAAGTGCTCGTCCATGAAGGTTTGAAGCTTGGCCGACTGCTCCAAGTCCTTGGGCTCCGGCGGCGTCGTCCGGATGGCCTTGTACGCCTGCTCTAGCACGTGAGGAGCCACGGTAAACGTCGAGCTCTGCATCGTGGAGCGGATAGTGAACTGAGGACTGTCGTTTCGGGCCAGGACTTGCTTGCGACAGCGCCAAAATCTGCTTCTGTCAGTCAAGGTCGGCGCTGTCTCTGTCTCGCTCATTGGACGATAAAGCTTCTAGACTCCATTGGACGAAAAGCGTGCGTCAATGGAAAGAGATTATTTCCACCAATCATTGAAAATTTCACATTTGAATTTTGAAAAGCAAAATCTTCGCGGTTGATTAACCGTTGAACATGGACGACATCGAGGCACTCATGCCCCGCACTAAGTGCGTCCTCCCTCGCCCCACGACCCTGTACTGGAGATAAAGCACTGATACGTGTTCTTCTGCTTCTTTACAGAGCGGCTAATGACCACGCCCCTGTCGACAAGGCCAAGTTGAAGCAGTACATGGCCACCAAAAAGGCGGCCCACACCATTGGAGCGTAAGACGAATCAGTCAGGAATATTTTATGTATTACATGCTAAACTATCATACCTCACTATTGCTTCAGCCGCTCGGGCGTCGTGGTGCGCGGTGACGTGCGCAAGGACGCTGAGGGGTTCGAGGACGTCGACGATTTCTGGGTCGATGACGACTCGATGCAAGACGACTCGGTGGACGACGACGACTGTGCGTGCTGTTCACAGCTGCAATATAGTAGAGATTACTGTTGTGATTGTGCTGATGTTGGCTCTGTGCTGTGTGGACAGCGCTGACGGCGTCGGACAAGGAGTCAGCAGACACGTCGGGGGACATCTCAGAGCCGAGCGAACATGAGGTAGAGCTGCCGGATATCGACAGTCCCGTTATGAGTGACCGCGAGAATATGGAGATCGAGACCGGAAACATACCGTCGCGGAGGCGCTCGCAGAGAAACAGTGGTCGAGTGGAAAGAGAGGAGAAGAAGGAGGACGCAGATCCTGCGCCCTCGTCTCCTCTGCGGAGCGATGTGTCGTTCGATTTTGGCGGCTCACCTCATGGATCTGTGGATATGAACACCGACAAGAACATCACGATCCGTGATAGACGCAAGAAGTCGACTGGGAAGGATGATAAGGAAAAAGCGAAGGCTCGTCGACGAGAATCGTACGGTGGACGTGGCTTTGACGAGGATATGATCAGTCCGTTCTCCATGAATGAAGGCCAAGTCACACCGCTATCGAATGGTACGTTATACTTATTATCTGATATTATTTAAACGTCGGACTAATATTGCATATTTTCCCTTTAAACTTACAGCTAGTGACCGTACTTTGAAGTCAATCCCTTCGTTTTCAGACAAGAATTCACTCTCGCCAAACATCAGTAAAGATCTATTCAAAAAAGGTGACTATGATAGTGATCCCAGCGACGAAAAGCCAAAGAAGAAGCAGGCGAAGGGAAAGAAAGCGAAAAAGATAGCAACGGGGAAGCAGTCAGTTGGTGATACGAAGAAGCGTCGAATCCGACCGACGGGTAAGTATGGCTATCGAACGACTCCACCTGCAACAGACACGTCGATCCAATCCGTCCAGACAGACGATGACAACGACGAATCGTTCGAGGCGCAGCATGACTCAGGTGGCGAGACCGGAGATGACAGCTATTACAATGAACCAGATGCACCAACCGGTCCGGTCCGTGACAGGTTGCCAGACGCGTCTAGGATTTTGGACGAGGAGAACGACGATGCATGGGATGGTAGTGGCTTGCGTCGATCGAAGCGACGGCGTTTTAAACCTTTGGCCTGGTTTAAGAGCGAACACATGGTGTACGAACGCACTTTCGTTGGTGTAGGCACAGTAATGCCTACGGTTGTGGGCGTGGAGCGTCTTGGTCATGACTCCCCGACGTCGAAACGAATGAAGGCAAAGCCACCATCGAAAAGGACCAACAACAGCAGAGCGTTGACTCGCAAGGAGTTACCTAAGGACATCCAAAAGCGAATTGTGGATAGCGAATGGGCGACGCTTTTCGACAGCCAGGCTGGTTGTATGAATGATCTGAACATTATCTGCCGTTCCAGCGAAATCCGTCTACGCAAGCTCCCCACCGAGGAGAGGGGTGGAGCGGTAGTGCACGCCTATGCAGGTCAGAGTTTCAACCTGTTCAGTCCGTCTCCGTTTGCTCGGTGGATCTCTGGTCGTGTCGTGTTACCTCCTGGAGCGTGGAAAGAACCAGAGGGCGTCGGTCAAGCAGTTCAGTTGTTCTACGTCACGGGTTGTCAGCCGAAATCTCTCGAGTTGGCGCTGGCTCCTGAGACCGACGACGATTTCTTCACAAGCAAGTACACAACGCACTTTTTGCTCAGTCCAGGTGACGAGTTCTACGTGCCGGCTGGTAACGTGTACTATGTGAAGAACCACTCGAGTTCTGCGGATTGCGATCTGCGATTCACTATTTTGAAACCTGAAGCGCCAATGCCAGATGACAACGACTCGGAGCCAGAGCAGGAGCAGGAAAAGGAGGAAGCTACGACCACTGAGACCAAGCCGGAGGCTACCGAGGCGAGTAGCCCACTAAAACGCAAACGCGAGGAGGACGCAGATGCTGACGCAGACGCAGAATCCGACTCCGTCTAACGTGGCCATGTAGTTTCATTATACCAGCAGTCTCCTTTATTCAATAAATTCGTTTCGTGTGCAAAGTTTTTCGGTCTCTGGTATCGGCGTATCGTCTCCATCGTGACATTGCTGTCGCTGTAGTTGCACATATAGCCGGAAAACTGTCTGACTCGCTGATAGCCGGTCCCGTTATCCGGCAGGTATGATTACTTCTGACAAGTTCATTGACGACTGCAGCTTCATCGTGCACGTCATGCAATGCAGGACTTTACCCGATGCGTTCGCAACCTTTGAAAGACTTTAACAATGGAATACTGTACCGTATCGTTGCCACTACCGTTTGGGTCCTCTTTCGAGATGTCCACACACTTCGACGTTAACCGTTGAACAATACGGGCAATTGATGCGGTTGCAGGACACGTCGTCAACTCGAATGGAGATTTATGCGCGCATACGCATGGACGAAGCTCTGCTATAAAAGCAGATGGAATAAAGCTTCATTATGGGGACAGTAGGTGAGACCACACAGCTGCTGGGCCTAAGAATACGCGTGGGTCGTGGTTCGGTGTCTTGGTGGCAGTCCGCTACGTTCGAATGCTCCAGAGTAAAAGACGTTGTCAGTGTGTAAACGGCCTCAATATCAGACACCCAGAAGACCAGCAGTGCCTGCCCTATACTGCTAGGCACTGCAGTCGACTCCCTATTGCTTATATCGCGCCTCGACAGCGATGGATCCGACGGCTTCGTCGTCCAAGTACGTCCGTAGCGCGCTGCTTCATAGTTCTGCATGTAACGCAATATTGACGCGTCGATTGCTACAGGATGGACGAGATCATCGAGGTCATCAAAGAAGGCAGCGTCGCCGTCCGTGGACACTTTATGGTACGGTCTCACTTCTCTAAAACCACTTAGCGGTTGTAATCTCATCAGTCGTCGACTTCTCTTTGCAGTGGCGAGATCGCTATGTTCTTATAAAGCCAGGGGAGATGATTATCCATCGACGAAGAGAAGGATCGATTAAAGCCAAGGTTGGTTCATACCGGCGTTTATCCCTACCATGATTTCCAGCGCGCTTATACTCTTCTCTTCCGTTCTGTGTCTACTAGATCGATCTACTCGATCCCAACATCAAGCTCACATTTCTTGGCGGACAGTCATTGCTTACAATTTCTATGCATGGTCGAGATATCGTGTTTGACTTTCGCTCGACCGTCACGCGTGACGAGTGGATCAGTGCCATTGTGAGTGCTCAGGAACTTCCAGGCTCTGATGAGGAGTGCGACGAGAACGGAACAGAACTTCTCTATAGTGATGAAACAGACGATCACAAGCGTAGCTCTATGACAAGCTTGGGGACTGAAAAGAGCGATCTATTGGAAGAAGAAGGCGAAGGCTACAATGACGCTTTGCTTGCCTTGCAAAGTGTACGAGATTCTGTCATGCAGTGTCATTTATCAATGGGAGCAGCTGAAGTCGATACATTTATTACTCCTCGTGACAATCCTGCGATTCCAGCGTTCACAAAAACAGCGCCTTCACTTCGACGAGTTCAAAGTGCGAAGCGCAGCGAGGAGGAGTTACGACAGAAGCGGCTTCGATCTCTCTTGACAATGATCGAAAGCACGCCGCATGGTGGACGTGTGGTACTGTTACATCTCGGAGTAGTAGCGTCTGCAGGCATCACAGTCGGTGATATGTTGCTTGCACTTGGAGAGAAGCAAAGGGACAACCCACGTCGCGGTTCCTTCACACCACGCACTCTCAGCACACAGAAACACAACGTCGCATCATTTGTTCGGGATATCCTATTCCACCCTATTTATTCAAAGCGCGAGGAGGTTAATACTGAGGTTGTTCAAGGTCTCATCGACTTGTTCTTCCCTCATTGTCGCTTGAGGAGATTTAGCGATGACACGGAATGGCAACAGGCTCAACCAGTACCAGTAAACACATCCAGAGTCCCAACAAAAAGTGAAAATGATGCTGATGTTACCACAACAATACAAGCTACCCCCACCACTCCAAATCCATCAAGGCCACTGCAGAGAAGAAAGCGACGCAATCACTCCTTCCCGAACTTAACTGGTATCTCTCAACTCGCTAAGAACAAAGGTTTATTGCCAACATCAACAGACGACAACGACAGATCCTTCAGCTCAAGGAAATGTGAAGAGGGGGGAGGAACCCAACGTCTACGAGATAACTTGTCGGTGCTGTTTGCTCCTTTGACTCCGTCTCCAGGTCCTGGAGGAGGAAGAGAGCCTCCAATCCCTCTTTTGAGTCCCACTACACTGTTCGACTCGACTTGCGAGGAGCTTGACTTAATTTGTGAAGAAGTTCCGCTTCCAGTACCCTTGCGAAGTTTGCTGTGGGAAATGTCGTGCTCCGAGATGGCAGGACAACTCACGATTTTTCACCATTCCCAACTCACTAACGTGTATCCCTGGGAATTTTTACATCATCCTAAGCAAGCGGCTAAGGAGCTGACAGATCATTTCAATCGATTGGTGGCGTATTTCGTTTGGTCAGTGCTGGTCGAGGACTCCCCCAAGGAGCGTGCTGAAGTCATTGAGGACATCATCTCCATCGCTATGGCTGCCAGTGCACCACCGCTGAATAATTTCCACTTGGTGATGGCCTGTGTAGGCTGTCTCGGTGACACCCCACTCATGTCTTCGCGGATGCCAACAACGTGGAAAAAAGTCCGCGCCAAGTACAAAACTCGACTCGGAGAGCTTCGACGACTGTGTGATCATACTGGTGGCTTCGAGAACTTGCGACGCAACCAGAGCGTTGAAAGTGCTCGCCCTGTGCTGTCCAGTGATGTTTCAACTGCTTCAGTTATCCCCTTCATCGGCGTTATTGGAGTCATGCTTGAACGATTACGATCAACTAGCTACTTCACTGCGAAGAAGATGCTAGATCTGGACAAGCTGGAACGGCAGTACATGGTGTTAAATGTACTTGAAAACGCACTACTCAAGCCAGCCCCGCGACCTAGTCGAGCACCGCAGCGTGGGAAGGCTGCTCCAACTGAAACTGCGACTCAAATGACCACACGCATGCAGCAATTCTTTCAGAATCTGAAGATGGACTTTGCCACGTCTCGACTGCATCAGCTTCGGTCACAGCAAATTCTGGCGAATGAAACTAGTGCAACGAGCTCCGCTTCGACGTCTTTTGTACTGACGGCGACTGTGAACGGGAGCAACAGAGGAGGCGTCCCGCTAACAGCAAGTCTAGCAACTAGTAGTTCACATGGCTCTATTGGTCCGAGTGAAGATTCTGGGCTGCCATTCGTGTCGTTCCGAGATATATGCGTCCTATTGGTGTCAGTTCCGGACACGCGCGAGCGGATACAAATGGCGCTTGAAGCGTTGTTTGTTGATGGACGCCAGCCTGCTACGCAGTTCCTACGCAAGTTCTGGCTCGACTTTAAGCTGAACGTCTGGATATCGGGTATCGGTCCTACTCTGCAGAGTGTGCGGCTCTGTGTGTCTGCTTTGTGTCAGGAGGTTATGACGCACAAGATCACTGAGCTCATGCAGATCAGCGGGTTGGACGAGAACTCGAGTGATCTGCATGACATGGTGTACGTGAAGAGCGTGGTGATGACTGTGCAGCCTATTTATCTGAAAATCGTATCGAAAGTCAAACGAAACTTCATCAAGGAGGACGCCCATGCGTCCGCTCGATTGCTGAAGAGCACACCTCAGGTTGTCGTGGACACTAGCAAACCGACGATGCCATGGAGCAGTTGTAGCTCCAGCTCTCCTGTCGAGCTGCTGGACCTCGTGTGCCAGTTGGTAGCGCTGCCTCGAGCAAGCACAACTACAGCAGCCGTTGCTGCAACCGACCACCAGCTCGCAGCCGTGGAGTTGCTAGGAGCACTTCAGCACCAAGGACGCCACACGTTCCTCGCCACGAACCCGGTAAGCAGCCTGTATCTGATGAAGCAGATCCTGGATCCAAAGTACTTTCCTCTCGCTCGACGACAGGCGCTCGACGTGTTCGTCGCTGCGGTCACTTGGCTGCGAAAGGAGCAGCGAGACTCCTCCGACAAGCCCCAAGGCGCGTTGGTATAGCACGAAGCTTCCAGCGATGGTACGCCGATGCAGACAACGCCAGAGTGACGACAGCCTAGCACCAGGCCCCATTACCACTACCAAGAACAGTTAAGCATTCGGTGGCGAGCTGCGCGCCGTCGGTTGCATTTTTCCTATAAGGCCACTCTCCGCCACTGAAAATTCGGAGATGGTCAGAATGTATTATCACCCGAAACTTGTATCATCGCCATCGACTTGGTGGACTTGCATTAGCTCCGTGAAAGTCATTTACTCGCTGGAAGAAGTTGCAAAAGGTAGAAGCATTTCGCCGGTGTACAAACGGCGGAAATGCCAAGTGAAGGTGTCCGCCACCTAAAGCAAAAAAAAGTATCTTCTGCGCTTCTACACGACATACCGTACCATGTCACATAAACGGGGTTGACGTCCTTTCGTCCGCCAATAGCCGCGCCGAATTTGACGCACTCCGATTTTACCCACTCAACTCGCTCGATTTCCGGATATTCCCATTGGTTGAAAACCTGCAAAGTGACCACAGTGGCGTCATGTTGTCGGTGCGGCTTTCTCGCCGGAATGCGCGAGCACTCGTCCGTGGGAGGACCTGGCGCATTGCCATTCACCCAGACAACTCCCCCCAATCGACTGTAGCGGTGCCCTCAGCTATCATCCCATAGAGAAGACCCCCTCCCATTCTGATACGTTCACAGCCATTTCGGCTCAAATATCCTCGCTCCCCTGCGATACCAACCGGTAAAAGGGGGTAGAAGTTGTTTACCTTTGGCTCCAACTAGTTGATACTATCGTATATCCTCTCCAGAGGCTGGTGCATCCATCTATGCGTCTGTGGGGGACTCTGGCGCTCGGGCTGCTGAGTGATGCAGTGTTCGCTGCCAGCTCTTCAGGCTCCAGCACCTCAGCGACCAGCGGGACACTCAACACACTGACAACAAGCTGCAATGGCGGCTGCAGTAGCAACGGAGCCTGCGTGGTTGTGGGTCAGTCCTCAGCCAACTCCATCAACTGTGTGAACGACACCAGCTGCGTCACGTTATCATCGGGTCAATCGGCGCTGTGTCTCGACGCCTTTAGTTCTTCGGCCACCGAGTGGGTCTTCCAGCCAGCCGAGAGCAACGACACAGCAGGTGTTGGTCCCTTTGAACGAGTCGGGCTATTACAGTTGGACGACCACGTTACAGGTCTGACGTTCAGGAAGGCAGACCAAGGCGAGGAACCGCTCTCTGGATCGCTACAACTCGCGTCCATGAACATCCAACCGGACGCTATTCTGGATACAGTGACGTTCCAGAACTTGAGTCTGTCCGGATTGGACAGCGCCTTGCCGCTCAACAGCGTCAAGAGGATGTGCGTTGATGTACAGGGAGAGATGGAGTGATGACATTAAGACTGATATGACTACTTGGTGAACAGATACGTCAACAACTGCTCACTCAGTGAGATCCCCACAGCTGCAGTTGCTGGTGACTCCGTCACCGTCATGTACGATGCCCTTCAGCTACACTTTGACTTGATATTGTGTCTAATCGTATTTTTGTCTGGCTTCTGTAGTGATCTAGCTGGAAATGCCATCACCAAGGTGGACACCAACTTCCAAGAGGAGACTTTTTCCAACCTTACATTGCTGTACGTCATATTTCCAGCCAGCATACATTTTTTTCCTGTTCAAATGATGCTGACTACGGCGTTGCTCTCTTTGCAGTGATTTATCGTCGAATGCTCTAACAGAGTTCGATCTTGTACCGGAAAACTTCCCAGCCATCACGACGTTGTGAGTATAGTTGTATGTGTTGCATTCACGTTGCTTGGGTAACCTTCTGATTGTTTGCCTTTTCTTCGTGTACTTAGATACCTGCATGGCAACTCGTTGATGACTGTTCCTAACGTGATTTTTAATTTGGGGACGCTGCAGTATCTGACGCTGATCGACAATCCTATCAACGCGTCGGACCTGACAGCGCAGCAGTTTACGTTCCTCGCTAATTTGCAGGTGTTCTCGATCGATGGCATGACCAACACAAGTGCATGTCCGACTACTGCAGTACAAAGTACACTGAACGATTCCTTCACGTTTTGCGTGAGTAATGACGATGGAAATTTAAACTCCACGGTTACCGAAGAGCCAGCGACGACGGTACCTGCAACAACCGAGGACGATTCCTCGTCGTCTTCATCTAACAAGACTTGGGTCATTCTGGGTGCGTGTCTGGGGGCAGTCGTGCTACTGTTACTCATCGGTCTCGTCTGGTGGTGCTGTCGGCGACGGAGAAATGAGCAACCTAAGCTCACAAACAGTACTATACCATCGATCGCTATTGGTATGGGCGACATGTCGGACCACCCGTACATGGAGCTAGGAGTCCCCCGATCCAATGCCTCCAGTCAGACGACATCGGACTTCGAACTGCTTGCGTCTGTGGCTGATGGCTACATTGGGCTGACTCGGTTATCGTACGACGATGTCTTCCTTCACAAGATGTTGCGCGTTAGTAGTCGTTCCGAGCTGTGGCTGGGCGAGTACAAGCATGAAGCAGTACTCATCAAGAAGATCAAGAGTAACACGGCATCGAAAGCGTTGATGCGAGACTTTGTGACGGAGATAGAGCTAATGTTCGAGCTCAAACACCCTCGTATCGCTGCATTCAAAGGCGCGATGTGGGACGCGGATGGTACGGAACTCTGCGCTGTGGTGGAGTACGTTGAAAAGGGTGCTTTGCGAGACTGCACGGTGAACAACGCCATCGAGTTGTCCGTGCCGAAGCAGCACGCCATTGCTCGCCAGATTTCGGAGGCAATGGCGTTCCTGCACAAGCAAAAAATCGTCCACGGTCGGTTGAATGCTTTTAATGTTCTGCTGGACAAGGACTATTCTGCCAAGTTGAGTCTTTTCAGTATCTTCCACTACGTCAAGCTTTCACCTCTGGACAATGAGTGCAAAATCTTTGTGGCTCCGGAAATTCTGCGCGGTGAGCAGCCATCGGAACGATCTGACGTCTACGCGTTTGGTGTGGTTCTCGTGGAAATCGACACAGGCGAGACTCCAGTGATGAATGCTCGGAAGCTGTCGATGGAACGGTCAGGTCGCGAAGATGGTCTGTCCCCCACAGCCAAAAAGGTTGGATTCCGCATGAGTCGTCAGTGTTCTGGAGTGATGAAGGATGTCATTACTGCCTGTTTGGAGAAGGACCCAGCTCGACGGCCATCGATGGCTGAGGTGGTGTTGGCATTCAAGAATGGGGCGATGAAGCTGTAGGACAGTTCTCTCTGAACTCGTATTTTATTCCTTTACACATTAACACATTAACCGCCAAAGATTTACACCAACTACGCCAGATGCCGCTGCATGAAGCAGAATTCATGAAAATGCTAACTCGCACTTTTGTAAATGGATCTTTGGTTATATATGCAAACAAAAATACTTTACTTCAGTAACTATTGTTGCAATTTCCACAATATGACTCAGTCTATGTCAAATGTAAGCGTGGCATGTGGTCATCACATGGATTAAACTATGAACATCCACGTAGTGAGATTTCAACCTGCTCAAGTAAATCACTTTACACGTTAGGACCGATTTATGGTTTACTTCGAAGTACGTCAAGTATAGCTAGTTGAATCCAAGCACACATCATGTACGCCCGGGTATTGCATGTATGGACTTTAATCGATCATTTCGCTGCTCGGGAAGTGCCGCATCTGTAATGTAAGCCTCGTCTTTTCGGTGGTCGTCATGTTTATCGTGTTAAACAAAGAAATACGTAAGCAAAAAGTCAAATTGACTGTTACCGTTTTCGCTGACAGCTTTTCAGTGGACACACCAGCAAATTGCAAGAAAAATTTGAGTTGCCTTTTTCTACAAGGTTCGAAGTGCGTCAAAACTATCATGACAATAAATATTCAACGCGCCTCCCTACTCCCCGCAGCGAACCTCCAGTGCGTGTGGAGCTGCTGAAAGTCTCCTATGATTCTCTATGAGCACGCTTGCAAAACGAGCGGGGACTACCATCATCGCTTGGCAGATTTTTGCGAAGCGCCAGTAGCTTGATGCAGAGAACACACGTTGCCGTTGCGCTCGTAAGCAGGCTTACGGCATCCTTCCACGACGCACCTCTTGCCTGAGTAATTAGTATGGAGAAAAGTAAATATCCATGCAGCCTAGACTACAGGCTACCAAATTAAAATGCAATTTATGCAGCTCACCTCCTCCGTGAGCCCAGCAAAGACCGTGAGAGACTGCCGTTTTGGTGCAGTTTTCCTCGCTGCATTTCCGACCTGAAAATAATTTTAGAAACCGTTAAAAAAATGAATGCACACCAAAAAATGGGTTTTCATTACCTCCACCGTGAGACCAGCAAACACCACGAGACTTAGCACGGTTCTCACAACCTGCCACAGTGCATTTGGTGGAGCCACCTTGAAATGTTACGCAATATTGTCAGTGCAAATCATGAAGCCACCTTTTTCGGCAATCGTGTCATTCTTACCGTGTTTCCAACACACACCTAAATTTTTAGCACTACTCGTGCACCCCACGACAGCGCATCGCTTGCCGCCCTGTTATCAGATTGTGTCGCATGTTTAACGGTTAGATCCAAACTGCAAAAAGATACTAAAGAGAAAGCTTTAAAAAAGTTCAACGTACGCCGTGGCCAATGCAAAGTCCACGGTTTACCACGTAGCGAGTGCAATTCTCAAACTTGCAAATGCGAGACTTCTTCACCGAAGCTTTCGCCGGCGTTGGTACATTGGCCGCTCTGTTCTCCGTCGCAGAAGCACTTGAAGCAACCGTGCGATCAGCTGCAACAAGTCAGCAAACACGCGATCAGTCCGTGCCAGCCACGGAGGCGTTCATTTTGCAAATCCAGACATTCGTCTACAACGTTGCACCAGCGTAACGTACCAAAGCTTGGGCCAGTCGAATGGGTTTGGTCCTCGTCCGCGTTGCCCCCAAGGATAAAGGCGAGAGAGCTCTTGCTAGCCCCCACGGCCGTCGCACGACCAACAATTGCCGCTGCAGCAGCAGCCGTGGCGACGTCTTCCGTATTCATAATAGCCGCCAGTCGGTGCCGGTTGGCGGCGAACTGCAGCGACGGTAGAGCCACCGCTTGTGCATCTTGACGCGGCTCGTCAGTCGCTTGCTCAAGCCACGCTGTGCTCATGTCGATGTCGTCGGGATTGTCAGATTTCTTCATGCAGGAGGATGAGGGCTTGGGTGTGGAAAAGAGAAGCATCCACAGCGGAGCTGAGATAGGGACCAGGACGGTTGGGAGGGACACGAACAGTGGAGGATACTCGACTGCGAGTTGAGCGAGTGGAAAGATTTATACTAAGTGGCGCCGCGGCAACTGTTCCGACAGGCAGCACGCGCCAGCGCTGTTATCTGAAGAATGGCCGCACTGCGAGAACCAGCACTCAAGTGGCGTCTGTATGTCACTGCAGAGAAAAGCCTCGTGTCGATGGGCTTGATTGCCGCTGGCAATTTGCCAAGAGAACCAGTGGTGACCGTGCAGCTCTAAAGGTCCCGCTATTTACGGTGTGCGTCCACATTAGGATTTTGTATGTGGACGAACGTATGGTGACCAAAAATGACGCTTTTTCGGCCAACCGCCTCGAAGGGCTCGTCTCTGGTGGTCTCGCAGTATCCGTAACTAACCAACATAGCGCTCCGTATGCTACCAGGCTCTTCATCTTCGGGCTGGGCTGTTCGAAGCATTGATCATTCGATATTGTCTGCCTTCCAACCGGCCAGCAATGCCGATGCATTTCGATGCCTGAACTCCAGGTTGGAGTCTCAAAGGCTGCACCTGGACGAATTACATGCAGCGTCTGATTAGAGACCAGGATTAGTTTGGATCCCATAATCGACACATAAAAAGTGTCGTTCAATTGTAAAGTGACTCAAAACTGCAACACCACGTCGTCGCACTATTCATTTCCACTTTTGCGTTCCATTTATTCAATGTGCAAACATGACAAACTTCCCTACATGTACTTACGCACGGCCACTGCCAAGTTGACAGTGTCAACTCTGTTCACCGCCCCCTGAAAACCAAGGTCTGTTCGGGCAGAGTGATGCTCTGAACATCTCGTGCATCGATCTTCAAAAGTCGCAATAACTCTGATTTTGCCCAAGGTACGACACAGCCGATCGCGGCTGGCTCGAGCACAGCGTCAAAGGTGCTCTGCCGGTGATTCTTGTTGATCGTTGACGAGTGTGACGCTGGCAGCAGGTCCTTGGACCCGATTCAACTGCAGCAAGATCTCGGGCAATGCGCTTCATTTCGGCCCACTCGCTCATACAGTTCGAGCACCGAGAATGTTGCCGCTCTCTTATCTTCTCCAGCATCCAGTCAGCCGTTGTACGAACTTTGCGGTTGAGTTCGATCAAAGCTCGCTTCGACTGGTTATATTGCGTGTGAATCGTGGTTGCTGTTCGCATTTTTGGGTTGGGTTAGTGAATTGTCAGATCAACAACCAGACTACATGTACATTTCAGTGCAACAGGTTTTCCTACCGATCCGCAGTTGAGCTTCCGCACTTTCCAATTCGCGCTGGATATGCTGCATACGACGCGTGGTCTGCTCGAGCCTTTGCTTTAGACGCACCACATCGTTCTCCAGCCGGAATGAATGACTTGAAGTCATGCGCTGAATTTGGTGCGCACGATCAAGCTCACCTTTCATCTCCCGCAGACGCTCAGGAAGATGCGAAATATTCGTCGTCTCGTTTCGGTTGATACTGAATGCAGCGTTACAACACGAGTTGCCATGACTGGTAGTCTCTGTTCCAAAAGACAAGTAAAGTCGGACTACATTTCTGGGGCTTGCTTGAAGTCGGCAAACTGGACAAGCATTACGATGCGCAATCGCTTTCTTGGCACAACTGTGGTGGAAAACATGGCCGCATGGAAGGGCTGCCAAGCTTTTATTCAAGCTTTCGAGGCATATCGCGCATGTTGTAGATTCATCACTCTCTTTAGAGCTTCGAGGCTCAGCAACAGCACGATATGAAGCCATGGGGGGAGATTCAAAGTGATACTTTGTCAACATCTGCGTCGCGTCCCGCTTCAATCTAAACAATATCAATCTATCATATTGCAAATTCTCGAATTATAAAACATCTTTCTGTTCACGGCTATTGTATTATAGTTTTTGGGTTTTATGGAAACTAGGGTATCTCTGCTTCACGTTCGCAAAAGCCTGCCTAAATGTGCAGCATGGCTGCGATGTAAGACGCACTGGGACGAAGGGAAGGGTCGTACTGAAGACACGCGCCTGCCAGCTCCTTGACCATCGTGGGGCACTCGGGTGTGAATGTGAACATACTCATGAAGCTGGTTTCGTCGTTATTGTGGGTGCCGAGCACGGGTGTTGTTCTTCGACGGTTCTCCTCTAATGCAAGACTGCGAGAGCTTTGCAGTATACGTGCGTTGTTGTTCGCACTCGGTAGACTTTCGAGATGGGTGGTACGTCGCCGGGAGTTATCGGAATCCGAAGTATTCGTCGATACAACCGTGCCGTCGGTAGATAGAAGAGTACCGTTGTCCGTGTCGAAATCGCCAATATGTGTACGCATTCTCCACGAACTTCTGATCATTTCATCCGCTGTCTGGCAAGTGTCCAGATGCGCCAGCAGCACGCCGAACGCATACATATCGGACGATGACCGAGATGGCTCACCAATCAAAATTTCAGGAGCGAAAAATGCCTTGGACGTGGAGTCACAACGGCGGTAGTATGACTGGCAACTGTAAGGCGATGATCCATCGGTAGGTAGAGCAGCCTGAATCGGGTTGAGCTTGCAGCCTTTGTCAGGGTCCACAAAGACACTTCTACCATTGAGTCCGTCATACGTGACCATGTGCTGGCTGTGCAAGTACATGAGTCCACGTGCGATTTCAGCTGCTGCTTTCATCTTGAAATTCTTCCAGTTGAGCTTAGATCCAGCACTTCGGAGGTAGGCTTCGAGAGTCCCCAGCGTCATGTACTCACAAACTGCAGTCATCGCATGTCGGTCGTCCCATACAAGTCCAGTAATCGAGAGAAGCTGCGGGTGACGCATCTGGGACAGCGTTGGTACCATATCCAACGCTGCCTCCACATCATCGTCGCTGGGCTGAAGCTTTGTCACGAGCACCAATTTCGTGCGATATTCGGCAAGCGCGACCACGACAGGCCCCGACGTTGACAACTGGTTGAGCATTACCATATCGGTGACCGGTATCTCCTTGAATGGAGCCTTGCGTAGTCCCCCTCCAGTGGTATAGTCGTTCAGCGAAGTTTCTAACTCCGTAGTCTGCATCGTACCGTTAACTCCTATTCGTGCCCTGAGGCTTTTAAGGTTGGCCTTGATTTTATTCCCATCGGCAGATACAAGCGAGTCATGCTGCTCCTTGACATTATTTTGTTTCCATCGTCGCAGAAGCACAACACCGCCAGCTACGGCCAGAACAATAAAGAACACAAGCCCGAGGACAACATAGAGCACGACAGAAGTGCTGCTGTTCTCACTTGCTGTAGAGGAAGTGCTCTTCTCCTTGGAGCCTGAGCTGTTAATGCTGCCGAGACCGTCACCATTCGTATAACATATCTTCTTGTCACCCCATGACACAGCCTCGTAACCGAAGGAGCAGCTTCCATCGACTGTCAGATTGGCTTCGAAAACGGGCAATTCCTGCAAATACTTGAGTTGTGGTAGGGTGACGTGAGCGTTGGCGATCGAGTTGCCTTGAAGATACAGAGCGGACAGGTTGCGCATTTCATAAATAATTGTAGGGATGTCGGACAGTTGGTTGTCGCGGAGATCTCTGTTAAGATTAAATAATCATGTTAGATAATAACCAAAGAAAAAAGAGAGACTTGAACGTACAAAGTGGACACCGAAGTGAAAGCGTGCGAACCACGAGGATCAAACTGAGTAAGCTTTGCCCGTTGAATGATACTAGAAAAGAGTGTACCAGTCAGTCATACTTTGTTCAACGGAGAAAGAAGAACATCACAATAGTGCTTACAGCGTCCGGAGAGAGTCCGGGAAAATGTTGGTTAGGATATCTCCAACATTTACGTCCGAAATAACTCTGCACGAAGAATTACAAGAAAAAAAATGTTAGCTCTCCGAAAAAAGTAATCAGCGAAAGCACACTTACAGTTGCTGCAATGCTGTGCCGTTACGGAAGGCATCCGATGAAAAAGAGAGCGGGACAGTGATCTGCGAGCTTGTTGTCGCACCGACGATGGTACTACAATCACAACAAAACACCAGCCCACCAATGTCAGTCGACTACCCCACGTTCGATGACCTCTACTAGCTTCCAACGTACAGATTTTGTAAGGTAGTTGGCAGCGTAAGATCATCAATTTGCTGGAAAACCGCGGTGTCGGTCTTGTCGCTCTGAGGTTGAGCAATGGTCAGCGTCCACTGCGGTGTGCTCCAGCTAGCCGGCGAGTTCACTAGGCACTGCACTTGGCAGCCGCCCGAGGTCACGTTCGCCTTGCACGTCGGCATATTAGCGGTCGAGCACCCTCGGTAGAAAAATCCAGCGTCACTGCTCTCTTTGCTTCGATCCTCAGCTGCCGAAGACGCGTAGTTCACGCAGAGCGACGAGCTGCACGCCCCGTAGCAGATACTTGTGAGTGTGCTATGCTCCGGCGGCGTACAAAAGTCGTCCGCTATCACAGCGCCAGCAACGGTCAGAGCCGCAGCCACAAGAGCCACAACTCTCCGAGTATTCAGCATGTTGTGTTCTTCCTCGCTTCCCTGCTAAAATCTCGGAATGCGTTGTACTCCTGCCACTCTACCTGGTAGGCATTGCATCAAAAAGAGAATTCAGTTGGACAATTTTATTGTTGTGTGACCATTTCCTACTGGCCTCCTACCGATGTGACGCAGGTGACTTTACCACGAGCGGGAGTAGTTGGCTGCACAGAATTGAATTTACCCCCACGGCGCGAAGACTTGCGCACAAGTAGCCGCGAATGGGCAAATGGAGCCACTGCGTTGTGTAGTCACAGGGTCAAAATGTCCCACAGCAAGCGGTGGGGCGACTTTTGTGCATGGACAGGGTGTAAAGCCAGTGTTTTGAACTGAATTCGAACATACATTGGTGGAAAAAGCAAGCGAACAACAGATCGGATTGGCGGAAATGTAAATTCGTTTCATGGTAGAATTTTCACTTGCGCTCACTATGCTTCGAAACGCTTGGGGCGTTATGGTAAAGTTCAATTTTCCAACTAAAAGCTCATCGAGCTTCAGGATGGACGTGCGGCCACTGCTCGAAAGACATACGAAAAGCTGGTTGGAAGGACCTCCTCGTTGCTCGATTGAACCTGTCGTTTGTGTAGATCTTTCCGAGTAGAGTCCATGCGTTTCGTGCCTTTGAGCCTTTAGGCGACCTACTAGCCATCGTTACATGTTCCGCGACTCGTCGTGGTCGACGTGTGCAGCAGCAGCTACGCAGTGAGACTCTCATTGAGAGATGCATTCACGAACAGGGAGGAACAAACAGTGCGAAGGTAGCAAAATGCAATTCCTAGGCTGCTGTTGAACAATCTGCTCGGCCTCACGATTAGCGGATTAGCTCGCGACTGTCAAACAATCTGTGTTCAATATTCGTGGAGGCACGATCACTGCGACGCCACACAGCTGGAAGACCAACGTGCGGCCCCGAGAAAGGGGTTCGTGTGAGCGACGCGGCATCCGCCGCTGCATTTCCGCAAGGAGGCTTTGTACGGTGAAATTGAAGCAATCACCGTGCCCAGCTTCGAGACTAGCCAAAAGACCCCCTGCATTTCGCTGATTTGGCCGGATAGGCGTGTCTGGACATTCTTGCCGCATTGGCAGCAGCACGCGCAATGGATTGCCTGCAGCAAACAAACATCGTGATCACACAACATGCATTGCTTAGACTTTTCCTAATTTAGGACGAATTCTAAATTCGGACGGATTCTATTTTTTGTGCGGTTATTGAGATCATTAGCCTTGCGAGTCACCAGCATCAGCTCGGATTTAGCCATGGCTTCGCTATTTTCGCTACCAACAGGTGGCTATACTCTGCCAGCTACCAGGCAGGCCCTCGCCAATTGCGCTGTGCTTTCTAAGCAGTGTCGACGTTCTGCAAGCCACCATGAGTGCCCGGAGACTTCGAGAAGCCATCAAGACATCACCTCGGGACATTCCCGGTGGGTCCTTGCTGTATTGACGATTTTCGCTACTTGGTTAATTTTTTTTGCTTCTTTTCGCTTGCAGACAACCCACACAAGGCTGTAGAGAATGAGCACGAATACCTTCGGCAATGTGTGGATCCGGTCCTGATGCCTCTCATTGAGTCACTGCTGCTCTACCAACCGGAGAGCGTTTACCACTTTATCCACGACTTCGTGGACGAGCAGAAGAGCAGCCGCTTCGTACATCACACCAGGAGTGTAGGCTACGCGAAGAAGCTCACTAACCGCCGTAAGATGGCGGACTTTATGTCTACCAGCGTGATCCCCGTTATGGATGATCTTGCCAAACAGATTTTACGCGAGAAGCCAAACTCCGTCAAAGGTAAACGTTGACGGAGTCATAGTTGTTTCTGCGCATAACTTCTCACTTTTTTCCGTTTATTATGATTCATCGAACAGCATTCATTAGAGACGTGGTTGCTGCACGTATCATCATTGAGTCCAACGAAGACCCTGAATCGTCAAACCAGGTCGAACGTGCCGTCCATTTCAATGTGAATGACCGTGTCTTGAGTCGGTACAAAGGCCGACCCAGGTTCTTTCCCGGCATCATCACCGCTGTCGATGACCATGGCAACTTCACAGTCTTGTACGACGATGGAAAGACGGAGAGCAATGTCCACTGCATGTGTCTGAAGCTGCACAGCGGCGACAAAACATCAGCACGAAAGAGCAATGAAGAATCCAAAGACAACCAGGAAAGACCGAAGGCGACCCGCATAATGGAGATCGTACTTTTGATCATTGGTATCGACGGAGCTGGCAAGACTACGCTTCTATCAACCTTGCAGGGAGATCTGGATAAGGAGCATGTGCCAAGTGCAGGTTTCACATCAGCCACGTTCCAGACGGACACAGGATCTGCTACATTCTACGACCTCGGAGGTGGTCCAGCATTTCGCAACGTGTGGAAGGAATACTATGCCGACGTAAGTGCTATGATGGTTCATTCTTTTCTGCTCCACTTCATTAGTACTGACGTTCGGATGTGCTCAGGTTCACGGTGTTATATTCGTGGTCGATTCCTCGAGTGAAAATTCGCTACTGCAGGCCGCAATTGTTCTTGAAGAGTCTATGGCGAACGAGCTCATGGTCAACAAGCCGTTGCTAATGTACGCGCACATATTGATTGATACTGCGTCATGATCTGATCCAATATTGTAAACTTGACAGCTTTGCCAACAAGCGAGACCACTCCGATGCAGTAACAGAACAGGAGATGCAGAAGTTGCTGCGATTGAGCAAGTTTCCCAGCTCCAAAATCGTCCCTTGTGTTGCCAAGCCAGCCGTTTTCGGTGGTGTAGACGAACGTCTGGAGTCAGGACTTCAGTGGTTATTCGACCAGGTTCACAATGATTTTGACTCACTCCATGAACGTGTTCAACGTGATCTTGCTATGAAGAAAAAGCTTGATCAGCAGCGACGGCAAGAGCAGCGTGCTCGGGTCGCACGTTGGAAAGAAGAGCGAGAACTCAGCCAAATGCGTACACATGATAAGCCGTCACTCGATGAGCAAACTTCATCCTCCAAATCTACCGTAGATAACCAGGAAGAAGCCGTGATATACTGCTCATATTGCAGTACGGCACCAGCAGTAAGCAAGTGTGCAGCCTCCAAATGGATGCCAGTCTGTGAAAGCTGCGCAACAACTCTAAAAAGATAACCGTGGAGTGTAAATCGCTTTAGCAAAACCTCTAGTCTAAGATTTTTGTCCATTATTTTTGATATAATCATCTATCTTCGCTTCTTGCCCTTCTTTCCGCGACCACGCTGTTCTTCCTCCTCTTCCTTCTTCTCCTTTTTCGAGCGGGCATTATTCACAATTTTCTCAACGTTCTCTTTCTTCTTGTTCTTACGCATCTCCTTCCGTTCGCGGCGCTTCTCGGCTGCCTTTTGCTCCTTTTCTAGTCGCACACGCTCAGCCTCTGCCTTCTTACGCGCGGCTTCTTCATCAGCTTCCTGCTGCTCAGTATCGACCTCCTCAACACTCTTCTGATCTTCATCTGTGGCTGGAAGCTTGTTGTCATCACTTACTTCACGCTTCACCTTGCCTAGAGCTATAAGCTCCTCTTGTAGATCTCTATCCATTTCATCGTCCAGAATGCTGAGGTCACTAAACACACCGAGCTCCTCCTCTTTTTCACGATGCTTTTTTGATGTGAGATGGTTCTGCAACTGTTTCGTCGACTTGAAGGTCTTGTTGCACAAGTCACATACCAGCACGTCTGCGTCTAATTTCTTTCGTAGCTTTTCGAGCTCCTGCTCAATGTCACGGTCAGCAACACGGCTTGTCTCCATGTTACTGTCAGCCCAGAGCTTTTCCTGCTGCTCTTGAAAGGCACGTCGCTCGGCATCAAACGCAGCTTGCTTCTCGCGCCTTTTAGCCTCTTCTTCAAGACGTCGCTGCTCTTTCTCCTGCTCCTTTTGCTTCTGGAATGCCCGTACACGTGGATCTCGACGACACACGAAGTCCACGAGCTCACGCACTTCCGTAGTAAACGCCTTCTTTGCAGCATCTCGCAGCTTCTTGTTCTCCTTCTCCATTGCTCGTCTCACAAGTCTAGTCGGTGCATCTGTCGTCTTGTACTCGTCCACCCATGCAAAGCTACGTTGCGTCGTGTAGCTCTTCCAGCGCTGGTAGAAGTAGTTGACATCATCCATCGACGTATTGGCATCTCCAAGCTCCGGCGCAATTTCTGATCTCGAGCCATCACCACCTTCCAATTCTAGTCCATCGATCTGTCCACATTAAACATTAGGGCTGACCTAAATTACCGCAATAAAACTGTGACCAACGCACCCTGGCGAAGAGTTCTCCGTACACGGAGTAGAAGCTCTTGGCATCGGAGCCGAAGCCCGAATAGACCGATGCACTGAAGTACCGGAACAAATTGAGCTCATCTTCGTCGTCATCGTCGTCATTGCCGTCTCCGCCGCGTAGAATCTGTTCCCGGTGCTCGTCGTACCATTTCTTCTCGTGTGGGTCACTCAGCACCTCGTAGGCATTTTGAATGGTCTGGAACTGCTCCGTGGCCTCCTCGCTCGAGATTCCGTTCTGCTGGTGCTTATCCGGATGCCACCGCAATGCCTGTAGACGGAAAGCCTTCTTGATCTCCACGGCTGATGCATCCCGCGCAACAGCCAGCACCTCGTAATGGCAGCGCATTTTGACCAGCGAAAATGTGTAAATGTGCACATGTAAAATTTGATTGGATTAGAAAATAGTATTTACTATTTACTTTGAACATCACTTCAACTTGAGCCACTTTTCGGCTTGCGCATACTCACATGCAGGTACAACACGTTGATCATGGTTTTCCATGGGTCTTCGCTCTCTTCATACTTCCAGTTGTCCGTGGTAATTTGGGATGAAATTTGACGTTGAAGTCCACCAATGGTGGCGGATGAACAGCTCACAGCTCCGAGCCAAACCCGAGCCAAAGGGGACAAAAAGCGATAGCGCTTGGAATTTTCGCGCCACCACTTGAACGGGTCCGTTATGCGCGTCCTGGATTGTTGGATCTCAGTCAGGTATGTTGATATCTCATCTGCTATGTAAATTCGCGTCTCCTCCGTTTCCGCGTCGTCGGGTTCATCCTCCTCTTGTAGCAATCTGTGCATCAGTCCAGAAGCAGGAGCCTTCTTCCGATGTAGCTCAAGAGCACGCTCCGCCAACGCGAATCCGCATAGTTCACGCTGATCCTCGCTGATATGATCCATCTTGGCATATCGTGGATCCAGAAGTGAGCACCACTGCAACTCCGACAGCGATGCGTCAAAGGCTGAGCTGATCCATTCCAGAATGCTCTTCTGGAGTGTTAGCAGGTCCTGGCTTATCTCCGTTGCATCGAACTCCATCGTTAATCGATAATGCTTGATCAATCCCGCGAGGATATGTTCTTGGTTCAATTGTTGCTTTGTAATTATGAGGCAGTGGACCAAGAACGGTAGTGTGCGGGCTTTGTCTTTTGTGGTAATTTGCTGAACCTCACGTAGCGTACGCAGTATCAAAAGAAGAGCCTCCGCTACAAACCACATCTTCGCAGTAGGTTCTGCAATGGCAGGGTCGGTAGTAATGGCAAAAAATCGGTTAATGGAAGGTCTCCAGACCATCAACTCGGTCAAGAAATCATACACTTCATCCCACGAATTACAGTCAGTTTTCCGAATCTTCAGGCTTTCTTCGTCCCCACCAGTGATCTGGGCGCGCATCAGAGTCCTTTTCAAGCCCCAGCCATAATCAAAGTCATCGGCCAGCTTCTTCAGATCCGCGATCACCCGAGCAACTCTCGATTCAGCGGCACGTCTGGGTCTCGTGCTGTTACCGTTAGCACGAGTAGTTTCATAACCACTTGCTTGTGGTTGCCGTATCCAGCGTAAAAGCGAAGTCTGGACCACCGACCAAATATCGGGGAACCGCTGGAGTTTAAGGTCCACCGCGAGTTGGCAAACGAACTTGTCGTTCGTGCTCAGAAGAAGAGACACATTGTCTGTAGAGAGCTTCCATTCCCTTAAAATATTCTTGACCATCTCGTCTACACCTCCATCTTCTGTGTTTACCACGCCCAAGGGGAACGTAGCCGGCTCAAAATTCGCGTCTAAGTGATGACATAACAGCACGAGATACTTCTCTCTTCCGTAGTAGCTATCGTATTCCGATTGCCATATCTCTGCTGAGAGTGAGAATTGCCCCACCTCCTGATGCATTCGCCTCATGGTCTCAAACCGTTGCTCCGCTGCCTTGTGCTCCACTATACGGCAAATAGTCTCCCGGTCGGGCAACTGAACTTTCCCCATTGACAGGAATCTAATGAGATCAATGAAGCCTGACTCAACTACAGTCGACAGCGGCTGCAAACTGCCACAGATCCACCGGATCAACAGGTCCGTAGCCGTCGGGTCTATTGAGTAAATAGCCAGTACTTCGTTCCGCTTGGTGCGTTTCTTCTTGGTCACAGGTCGCAGAACGCTGTTGGTGGTTTCTATTGCTGCGTCTGTCAAAATTTCAGAGGACAAGCGCTTCGCCGTGCTCCTGCTACTCGCTGGAGAATCTTCTTCCTTCTCCCCCATCTCTCCGTCAGCACGAAAATCTGTCAACTCTTGCGGGTGTTTGCTTATCACATGCTTGCGCACTAAAGCGCTGCTACCGCTGTTGAACGGGAGAATTACGTTGCAGCGCAGACAATAGGCCTCCACAGCATCCGCAGTGGTCCAGTTCTCTTGGCCAGAAGGCAGCGTGGCGCCAGGAGGGACGATGAGCTTGATGCATTCGGGTTGACGGATGTGCGGACACATGAATAGCGTTATCTCGCCATGCTTGAAGGCGTTGCTCATAGAATCCAAGGCAAATGCCAATCAAAATTATTGTGGCAATTTTTGGCGCCAAGATACCGTCCACTATTCGGTGAGAATAGATCACTTTTCTCAAATAGTGCGCTCTTTCCAATTCTGAATCTGAGTCTGACCTCCAGAAGCATTAAACTGATCACCATGCTACCTCGAAGCAAGGACAAGGACGACGGCGCGGCTGCAGATGCCACGGCAGCAGCGTCCATCTGCGAGCTGTGCGACCTGTACACCCGCAACGATGTAGACGGCAAATGGACAGAGCTCGCTGAAGTCTACGACGTACGTTTAAGGTTATTCACTGCCGTCGTCAGCAGATCCGACACTAACAGCCAAATATGGATACCCATGTAGCAACGCCGCAATGTCGACAACTTTCGAGAGATTCTAGATCTGAGTGCCCCCAACGCCCGCATGGGCGGCCTCAACGGTTGGCACTTGGAGCGCATGGCCGTGGGCGAATTCGAGCCTGGACCTGGCGCTAATGCCAACGATCTGGCTGAGATCAAGCGCGAGAGTCAGATGATCAAGCAGATGGTGATGAAGATGTTGGCCAATGGCCGCGATTTCAAGACCAAGCGAGACGAGCTGGAGGCAGCGATGGCTAAGCAGCGTGAGGCGCTGACGGTCGAGCTGACGGAAGCCAAGGAGTTTCTGGGTCAGGCCCACTTGCTGAGTGCCTCTGACTCGGCGGTGATCGAGGTCAGTGAGCCTGCTCCTGTGGAAGAAAGACTGCGAGCTACGGTCAAGCACCCAGAGCTCTCGCCGACGGTTGATCTAACTGCAGCGCCGTCAATCTAAGTATGAAGACGGAGGAAGAATAAAAAAAACAGGGCAGACCACGAGTGCATTGCCTCCAGTGCCTTCCAAACTCGGTCATGCTCTATCTGTAACTTGGTTTGGAGCACCTCCCTCGTTGTTCGCCCTCCTGACTGTCTGTACGTGCCACCCATCGAGCCATTGCTACTGCTCTAGTCGACGTGAAGACGCTCCTCGAGATACTTCACGGCGTCCTTCGTGATGATCAGCAAGTCCTTCTGCAGGATCGAGTATACGTTGATCTTGTTCTGCGGGAGTGTGTCCACGTGTGGGATGTTGCGCGTAGCCAGCACGAAGCTCGACTCCACCTCCTCGCCGCCCACGAATAGTGCGTGGTCCCAGCCACGGCCACCCAGCAGCTTCTTCATATCCTTCGTCTTGGTAATCTATAACATCACGCAGTCAGCACACAAGCATACAATCCCCACTTATTCTCACAGCTACGTACATCGACGTCCAGAGAGTCCACGACGGCTAGCTTGCCCTCACGGAGTTTAGTAGACAGTGCCACGCGCAGACCCATGGCACGCACCTTCTTGGGTAGGCTGTACGAAAAGTCGCGCAGCACGGGGCCGTGTACGCGGTAGCCTCCACGCCACTGCGGCGCACGGATGTCGCCGACACGAGCGCGTCCGGAACCTTTCTGCTTCCACGGCTTGCGCGTGGAGCCGCTCACCTCGGAGCGCGTCTTGGTCTTGTTGGTACCGGCGCGACGGCACGCCAATTGCCAGCGCACCACACGCTGCAGGATATCCACGCGGTCGGGCGCACCGAACACCTCGCCGTTCATAGTAACGGTGCCCAACTCCTGCGTGTCCTCGGCCAGCGACAGCATCTCCAGCTCCAGGTCGCCCGACGGAGTCACCTTGACCTCCTGAGCAGCTGGGATCACACGCGGCGGTGGCATCGGCTTCTCCTCAGCCAGCGACAGGTTGGCCGGCATCGTTGCCGCCTGAGAGCTAGCCGCGCGCACTAGACTCGCACGCGTAGCAGACACATTCAGAGCCGCTACGCCGCGCAGCAGTCGGTTCATGGAGACGGACGCCATCACCTCTGATTCCCCTTTGTGGCTCTCGATGGATGGCGTTTGTGAGGTCAAATAAAACACCCAACATGGGTGTTTTAAAAAATTGAAAATCATGAAGAACTGGATGTGTTTTATTAACATTTGGCGACAATATTGTCACCCAATTGGATGAATTGATTTCAAATTCAACAAGTCAGATCCCCCTCGCCGATATGGCGTCCCAACGCAGAGGCTCCGCCCCGCGCGGGGACGGCAGCTTGGCCGCCATCTGTACAGTCATTGAGCGCAGTAACCTGGACCGCAAGTCTAAGCTCGACAGCACTGGCCGAATCTGCTACGTACGTATCTGCGTTCGTCTCATGCCCCCCCCCCCCACAGTATACTAACACAAGAAATACGTCTGCCAACAGGAGCTCAAAAATGATCCGTTGCTGCTGGACTCGTTCCCTATGGATCGACTCATGAAGGCCATGCGCCGTCTGGTGTGCGACTCAGACACGTCTACACGCGCAGGTGCGCTCAGGGCGCTGCGTTACGCTATCAGCAGCAGCGGCAGTATCAAACACTTCGTGGATCTCAATCTACCAGTCTTCGTGGTTCGCTCGCTAGAGCGTGAGCAGAAGCACTTGGCGGAGCGTGTTCAGGCTCTCAAAGTCGTGCGCAGGATCATGGAGATCGATGCGGATCAGATGCCGACAGGACTCGTGGCTTCGTTAACGGCCATTGCTGGACACAAGGACGATAATATGCGTCGAGTGTGCTTGGAGACGCTCCGGGAATTAGCACTGCTGAATGTAGAGGTCGTAGCTGAGGCCAATGGCACCAAAATCCTAGTGGATGCCATTCTGGAGCCATCATTCCAGGACCTGGCTGACTCGCTTCTGATGACGCTGCTACTTATCCTGAACGAGCCGTCGACCCGGAAGTTTATTGAGCCTTTCGTGGATTCACAAGTGCTACTGGCACCATTTACAGATACTGATTTACCGGCGGGTAATGAACGGAGACAGCGCTGGATGGCCAGTCGCAACGCCATCGTGGCGATGATGCGATCATGGACAGGAATGGTGGTGCTAACAAGTAACCCGCAGGGTCTACAGTCGCTGATTCAATTATTGGTACGGCCTGTGGGTGAGGACGTACAGAAGGCTGTGTTGTCTACTATCTGCGAGATCTTTTACAAGAAGACGAGTTTCGACAAGTCAGCCACGGACGCTGCCGACACACCTGCTCTCCCCGTGAGTCTGTCGAGTGCAGAGCAATTACCACTTGCAGTGAACCACAATCTGCTGGACAATTACACAGTGATCATCCTTCTCGCCATGATTCATTGTGGGATTCTAGAAGCGCTGGTGACTTTAGGAACGGGACCGTCTCGAGCATTGGCGGAACCGGCGATCGACCTGCTGGCCGACATTTTGCGGATGGCTTCGCGGCTGCTGCCGGACCAGCACTGTGCGTCCTTGCTTGCGCTCCCGCGATTGGTATCAGCGACCTCGCTGACTACGACAACGACGATGTCCCTCGGTGACCACGCAAAGAGCTTGTTAGAACGTCTACAACGTGAAAAATCGATCCGAGCTAGTGAGATGCTGGGTGAGCTGGCTAACGCTGTTGGTGCCAACTCCGGCAGCATTGCTACTCGAGGTGTATCGTTGGTTTCGTACGGCGGTAGCGGCGTTAATGGTGTGCAGCTGGCGTCCGAGCTTCTGCGCGACACGAACCGTCCATCAAATCTCTTGGCTCTGCAGCAAATTGCAGGCGTGGTGCGTCTCCCGTCATCTAGTGGTGGCGGTGGTATCCCCGGAACTGGCAGTGGCTCAGCAAATTATGCTGTTGCGCCTCCTTCAACACAGCGCGGAACGAAGAACGCGACGGCGCTACTAAAAGACAGTCTGACGTCGCGAGAGCTGATGGTTCTCGAGCTGAAGCAGTCTCTGGATGCGCAGATGGACGACAGTACATTTAAAGACATGCTGCACAACCGCTCGCGCGTGCTGACGGACAAGAACTACAAGAACTGGAACTGGGATATCATTGCCGAGATGCTCGAAGGCCCACTGACAAACCCGCAGCGGCTCTCAGAAGCAATGAAGACCAAGTTCTTCAAGCGTCTGTCGGGATTCTTCCGTTGCGATCAGGGCAACAAGGGCTACTTCTCGAACCTGTACTGGATCCCGGATCATGTGCCCTATTTGCGTCCAGCCTGCCAGATGTATACGCTCCTGTTGAATCACCCCGAAGGTTTGCTCTTTCTGAAGACCGACCGCCGTGGGCAACTGCTTACTGAGATTTCATCTGCGCTGGAACTGGAGGCTCGTCCAGAGGCTGCTATCGTGGAGTCACATATTGGTGTGCTGAAGGCGCGCATGTTTTCACCTGACTACGTATCACGTCGAATGTTGCGTGAATACTTTACGCTTCTGGGACTGATGAGCTCGAGCAAGGAAGGACTGAAGATGATGGAACAGTCTAATCTGTTCCAGCGGCTATACGTCATGGGCACAACAAAGGGTCACGATTTCCTGTGTCGACTCATTCTCGCCAACTTGGACTACTCAGTTGATGGCAGCTCCCGCAAGCTGCTCCAGTCTTGGATGATGGAAGGCTCCAAGGCGTTGCGTTTGTATGCAACTTGCTTGCTGCGTGCTCTGCTGCGTTCTGAGGTGGCCGACTTCGATAAGTGGGGTATCGACGCACTGGTGACTCAGTTGACACAAGAAGAAGAAGTTGCCAAGGCCGCGCTGAGTGTCCTGGAAGAAGCTGCTGAGACCCCTGCATGTCTTCTAGCTATGATTTTGAAGAGACCAACCAAGTTGATCCAGCTCAAGGATAAGCGTGCTGAGTCTCTGCTACTCAAGTCCCTTTCGCTAGCTGAGGGACTCAACTTCTTGCGTGAAACAGGCGACTGGATCCCGCGTACACTTGCCGCTTGGCGTCGTGAAAAGCACATTTCATACGTACATGCAGTGGAGCACGCGCTGTTCCGTGGCTTACATCGTGATGCAGCAGGGCGAGAACGCGGTTCAAGCAGTGGTTCAACTAGCACACGGCAGACGTGCTCTCCCACGCCTATCCCGGTGAATGTGCCTATGAAGCGAGGTGGTGGGGTCGGACTCAAGCCACCAAGCGGTGGAAGCAGCCAGCGCTCCTTGTGGGGACTGGATTGGCTCTATCGTATGCCGTGGAACATGGAGGTGAAGATTGTGGGTCCTCCAGGAAGCGGCCCTCCTTCGAATCTCATCTTAGAAACATACATCGATGGTGCTATGCGTGACGAGGATGACAGTACCAGTATCGACGATGAGCTTCGCATGAACTCTATCCGCGTCAAGGGAATTGTTGTAGATGCGCGTAACATGCCTCAACCTGTGGTCGTGAACTCACAACAGACACTACAAGCTTGTCTGTTCCTGGGCACGCAACCGGTAGACCGACGTGGCTTTACAAAGCCTCCTCCGCAGAGTAATGGAGGCTTCGTGTCTACAAACGCATCTGCATCCGGCGGTGGGTCTGCTCTTTCAACTGATACGCAACAGAAAATGCTACGTGCACGATCGGCCTCGAACTCGACTACAGGGAATATGGACCGCGGGTCAGAGACCATGATGTCTTCATCACTGGACTTTGCCGATACTGGAGCGTCTTCGATCGACGCAGCGAAGGAAGAGAACAAGGACTGGAGTTCATGTCAGCCCGAGCAGCGGTCACCGCAGTATCTGACAGCGCCGGAGTGCTCGCTATGTGCTCCTGGAGAGCGTGCTGTGTGGAATTTCCGAGTGGAAATGGACTCGGCAGCTGGCACCAACACGTCAAACGGCAGTGTAAAGCGGCTACTGCTTAAGTCCGTCGAGTTTACTCTGCAGTTACTTCCTCTTCGCCCGCGTACCGTACCGCTACCAGTGCATCTGTACGGCGAGCTGGCGAAGACTAGTGCTGGCTGCCAGATCCTGCATTCATCGGGCCATTTACCAGAATTCCTCGCCTGTCTTCGTGACGCCGCAAGCGTTCCACTTGAAAAGCGTGCTGCTCTCTGGGCACTTGGCCACGTGTCAGCCACACCACGTGGATACGACCTTCTGAACCACTACGCTCAAGACTTTGTGGAGATGATCGTGAAACTGGCCACAGATTCTCCGCTGGTATCCATTCGAGGAACGTGCTTCTTCGTGCTGGGTTTGCTAGCACGGTCACCTGCTGGTCAACGTCACTTAGCACGTCTTGGCTGGGATGCTCCGCGAGATGCATCCCGTACTTCTATCGCCGTCCCGCAGAACTGCACGTCACTGTTTATGTGGCCCCCGTCTAGATCCCCAACACCCTGTCCATTGACGCAGACACCTCATGCTTCACCTCTCCAGCGTCTTTTCATCCGTAGACGTGACAAGATGCCCAACGAGTGGCGCGAAGTATTGCGCTTTGTTGCTGATTTGAGCAACCACATCACGCAGAAGGAGGCCCATGCTTCGCTCAACAAGCTGCGCTCATCAAAACCCGAGTTGTTCGAAGAGCCCGTGCTGCTGATGTATGTGCACGCTCTACTGGAGAAGTACAGCTACCGTTTAGCACTACGCCAGTTCGTGCTCAACGCTTTTGATCGAGCAACATTGACGGACGAAGTGCTTGATACGCTTCGCATTGAGGATGAAGAGGAGCAAGGCCAAACGCGTCAACGTGTACCGACCGGTCGAGAGCTGCGGCGGCGTCGCTCGTCACCGTCGATCCCATCATTCACAGCCTCGGTCCAGTCGCTGAACGCTGCTATGCAGGCTACTTCTAGTGTCTCGCGTCTGTCATCCATGCAAAATGTATTGAGTACTGGTGGCAATATGGGCGATCAGCGCTCGACCATGCGGCTAAATGCTCACAACGACCCCATTGATCGCATTGTACTGCTCAAGCGCAACCGCAAACGCTCTGCTTTCTCCGAGAAGACGATCGTTGTTGGAGCTCCTGAAGCGGCTGTGTAGGCGGATAGACTTCTCAATACCTAGCGTTTGTTGTCACTATCTCTATATTGTGTCCCTACCGTCTATAAGAATCTCCCAGAGGCCATATCCATAAGTGAGTCGCCCATGTGTAGGACCTCAAGCTTGCACAGTTTTCCGTTGAGGGTCGCACACATGGTGATGGCACCCCTTAACGTCTCCAGTCCGCCACGTTGGACTCGCAGTAGGGCTGTACTGGGTTCGCTATTATTGGCGGGCATTTTCTCGAAGGACAAGACGTCGAACTCGCTAGCCGAAGCGCCTACCACGCCGAATGCTGTCTTGAGTGTGTTGTCTAGAGCGAACTTGAGCTGTTTCACGTCCGCGACGGGGATGGCTCCATCCTCAGAGAAGCTGCCAGGAGGCGTAGGTTAGCTGTAGTTTGCTAATGAATTAGTTGCTGGTAGTAATACGTACATGGCGATCTTAAGGTAGCTGTGCTCCCCGTGCAGCGAGAACTTGTGGTGGGCGCTCATCGCTTAGAGTCGGAGCTCTCCGGTAGTATACATCTGTATACAATCACTTTGAACTTACTTTACAGTAAAAAACAAAAGTGTTGGCACAACTCTTTTTTATTAAGACGGCTGGCGCTCTCATTACCAATTTGACTCGCAGCGCACGCGATGTTTCCTCTTGGGAGGGAAGAAGACTGAGTACACTTTTAAGGGATTTCATATTCCGGCAAATAGCATGTCATTTGGGGCGAAATGGCATGTGATTATTGACACCCCCTATTACACTTGCGAGTTCTACTCAAAATTTCCATGGGCGGTTTTTTGAATGAACCTCCCCCAAATCGCCAAGCGCATTCAATTCCGTATACTGACCCGTTTAAGTACGAAATAAGATCATGACATGTGGCAAGAAAAGACTTGGTGGGTTCTACATATGACTTGGATTTGTATGTGGGCGATTGTCCTCCCGCTCCACAAACAGACCCAAATCAACAAATTTGGACGGAATTCACAATAACCAGCGTCGTCAAGATGCCCACACTTCATCTTTCCACTACTCAACAAGCAACACCACAAATCCAAGCTTCAAGCCGTCACTTTCCGATAGCAGAGGAATGAGTATCGTGACTCCTGGTGACGTCGCGGTTGCTGTTGGTAATAACGACCCGGTTTCCCCTTTGAAGACCTACTCGTTTATAAATCTGGCGAGTTAGGTCGTAGAGATGAGAGGTAGGAGAAGGAAGAAGAGACGTTGTTGCTTGTCGTCTAAATACGAAGTGAGGTTGATTAAAGTTAAGATGTCATCTAGCTACAAATTAATCATTAGTGGATTGGTGTTCACTATAAGTATAGTGACAATAGGATGTAGCAAGTTAGAAAGGACCTGTTAGAACTATATATATAATAGTTCTGAGAGGTTTTGAATGAGTGAAATCATCATGTTTGGAGGCAACTTCAACAATAAATGTGAAGGAATGCAACAGCAAACCCGTCGCTGAAATTCCTGTCACCTTCAGAGCCGAGTGGGCTGCGTACTGGACGAGTTGTCCCCGCTTTCCATCTCTTCCCATCGGCTACATATCCTGCGGAGTGTTCTGGGTCACTTGTATGATCTTTTATTATTTTGCCTTACATGGCGTTCAATGGTGCCATGACCTCATGGAAGTTCAAGAAACAAGCCTCAGTTGTGATCCACGAAAGCTTTTACTACTGGTTGAAACGAAATGGGTTTACGAACGAGGAGTTGAAGCAAGTGAAAGAAGCGACCCAAAAAACGACGATGTACGTACTCGCTCATAAGCTGACCGACGTCCGTGACACCGAGGAGATGATCAAGTTGCAGTCAATAGAAAAGCAAAAGCTAGTGGTCGCCGTACTCCAACAATCCACCGCAGCAATCATTGCAGCACATGAGGCGGAGTTTCTTGTACTCCGAGTGATGTGCGCGAGATTGCTCTTTAACTGGGGTGCACAAGACGTCTACAAACTAGGTAACGTGATTGCCAAGAACGGTCGACTGTGAACTCGAGGCGAAGACGCTCGCAAAAAAAACCAGACTGGGAGCAACGTGTAGCCTCCAGAAGTAACTTACGTATCAACGCAGTCTTGCGCTGTGTCAACACAGTTGTCAAAGAAGGGCAAATTCCCCGTGATCTGGAGTGGACACTGGACAAAACAGAAGCCCCAATGGACTGGGGTGACTTTGCTATCCACAACAGAAACCACGACAACAAGTTGTTGGCCGAATTCCACACTGCAGGGCCTTACCTCAAGCAGTATATGACACTTGCAATTCTCTCCGGATCATACTGGAGCCGAGTCGGCTCCAGTCCGATTAGGTGCTCAACGAGTGTGTCATCGTTCACATCCAGGTGCTCTAAGAGCTCAAATAGCGCTTCAACATGCTAAAAGTCGACAACCACTTATTGTCCTGTCGAATCACAGGTCTCAAAGGCGTTTTTAGCTTTCAAAAACAGTATTATTAGCTTTGCAAAATTGAAATAATCAACTCAAAAACTTACCGTAGCTTGGCAGACTGCGAAAGCGTGCGTAACTTTAGCATCAAAGAGTGAACCACGTCCAAGTCTGTCGTACTTTTCTCCATATCCGCTTGAACAGCCAAATTGAGCCTGTGACTAGCACAGCCCAAAAGAGGCACCCCCATTAGCGTAGCTAGAAGTCTGTTGACAGCGCAATTGTCAGCCACTAGGAACAGACATTGCGAGAGCTGTTTGCCATAGTCTCGCGGCAGCATGTTCGCCAGGAACTCCATGTGGCCTCGAGCAGAGAGGTCGTCGTCGAGGGCGTCAAGCAAAGGAGCCATGCTGAGGAGCGCCGTCTTCCTGACGCCGCCGGCGTCGTAGCAGGCGAACGCTGCGATGAAGTGCTGGGAGGAGTGCGTCCAGCCGTCGAAGAGGAGTCCAAAGCGCTCAGGCAGCTCAGCCGCGATCGCGCGCTCCACAACCCTAGTGAGGCTGTCCATTGCACTAACTAATGTCTCCACACAAATTGGATCGAGATTTGTGTATCTGGTCCATGGAAAACACAAAAAGTAAGTAGTATATAGATATGGTAGGAATAGCAAGCTATCGTACCTCCTAGCCGCCCGGTTCTCGCAGAATGACAGCGGCAGGTTGTTCTTAAGAATCCAGTCCATCCAGCCGTAGACGTTCAGAGCCGATTGGCGTACGTAGCTTAGCATGGAGCCAGTCTCGGCCGTCGACGCGGCCAGCATGATGGCCTCGTAGCCAGGGTGCTCACGGCGGACCTGCTGCATGAGATTGCTGTAGCCGTTACGCCGTGTCTGCTTCCGTACCGTGCCGCACCGGCAACGGAAGTACTCGAGGATGACCTCATCATGGTCATCTCGGCACGGACGGAAGTAGAAACCCGAAACTTGTGCCGGGGTAAAGGTGGCGTGATGAGGGCGAGAGGTGCTGGGAGTGCTTGAAGAGCTCAAAATGAAGAGTGAGCACTTGAGCAGGGTGTGGTGGATAGATGGTTGCTAGAATCGTTGGCTCAGAGGATTTTTGCTCTCGTGCTTTAGGCTGGTTGGCTTGGAGACATTCACCATGGTAAAGAGGTTTTAGCATAAAATATGAGAGATGTTTGACATAGCAAATAAATTATCAGGTTTAGGCGGGGATAAATAATTTCTTTGCCTCATGTAAAATTACTGAAGTGACCATGTCATAATCGGCAGGCCTGGAGCCGAGTATCGCGTGCAGTAGGGCCTGGCTGGCGCTTGTCATTTCAAACTCGCCAAAGTGGCCATCGGTATTCTGAAACTCGAGTTCAACTTAATTGATCTGTTTGTCGACTCAATCACTTAACTCGCGAAATCCCCTGGGGATACGTGCTTGAAAGTGGTAGTCTGCCATCAGGCGGATTTACGGGATCTAATAACGACGATGCGAGGTAGATATGTTATCGGGTCGGATACGGGTAGGGCATGGTAATGGGGTCAGGCGTTCGAAATCCATCTTCCGGATGGTTTATTAACGGGGTCTGACATTGGGATGTGGGGTCGTTACGAAACTACAGTGGCCGACTTGTTTGCTATTCGTTATGAAACTCCTCCCATTATAGAAGTTATCGATTCCTAGCCGTTTGCTCTTGCTGGTAACCACTTCTAACCTTTCAACACTTGTCCTTCGCCAGTTTAGTTTTTTCTTCATACTGGGCAGCAGAGCAGCATCTACTACAACTAGTTCCGGCAGCTGACATGGCGTTCGCCGATCTGGAACCACCGGATCCAGCAGAAGGTATCGCCACAACGCCCTCCAGCGACAACGCCACACCAACATCCCTTCAGCAATCACAACCACAGCAGCAACGAGTGCGTCACGAGCAAGCTGAAACTCAGACGGCAGCGCGACTGCCTCACACTGCAGCAACCCGACACGAGCGCAACATAAGCTCTATTAACATTGGCGGCTACCAATATACACGCGCCTGGTCATCACGTCGCAAAATCGTATACCGCTGTAGTTATTATCGTGGAACAGGGTGCATGGGTAGAGTCGAATTCTTAGCTGCATCGATGGAGTATGGTAACTTTATTCAGCATACCTGTCAGCAAGATCACGTGGTTGCAGCACATACAGTCGATATTTTGGAGCCAATGAGAGAGGCTGTCGACGATTTGGCTCGTAGCGATGTCGCTTTGTCTGCAGCTGCTATTTGGTCCCGTATCAACGATCAATTTACGGCGGAGCATCAGGCACTAATAGGACTCACAAGAGAGCAAGTACTCAGGCGGGTATACCGTGTCCGTAATCGACACTTCGGTGGCAACATACACGGGCGCATTGAGATGCCTCCGTTGTCCCGCGTCAGTGGTCGGCCTTTGAACGTCTTTCAATTTCACTATATTACCGGCTTCAACGACAGTGCAGGATTCGGACGCCGATAACAGAGACCGCGCCGATGCGGCCGAAGACGCTGAGAGTGAAGTCACCTCGGCAGTTGTCTGGACGTGGTATGAGGTACGAGGTGCATTCTTCATACTTGCACGAATCTCTTTAACTTCAATACATTTACCTGTTTTACAATGGTCTGATATCTGGTAGGAACTGATAATGCGGTCTGATGATGCATCTGACCTCTGCTTCATGCCCTACCAGTATGTGACCCGATAAATAGCTAACCCGATGCGACTGGATCAATGCTTAACATGCTGAACGACAAATTTGGTAGGGAAGCTCGCCTCGAGAACAGGGAAGCCCAACTAAACGAGTATTTGAAATTTGAGAAAGTGGCTGAACTCGCCGAGCCTGTTACTTCTGTTGCCGCGCCGCTGAAGAGCTAGGATCTAAACCTCAGAACCTGCTGCAGTTAAGCTGAAAGCAGACGTATATGATACCTTGAAATGACTTCATACATATACACTCCGCGACAGGATGGATCGGCCACCCACGTCGGTGGCCGTAACTTCGTCAATTTTAGGAGTTGGAGGGCGCTATTTAGATATGTTTTAGAGGTAATTTAGGGCAAGGCGGTGTTTGTGCTAACGAGCAAGAATTGGCAGTCTATCGAGTGGCTAGCATAGAGAGCAACGGTTTTCGCACTACGACAGATTAGATCGGCCACCTCCACCATACAAAAATCAAGTATATTTGTACCTAATGATAGCATCTCAGTAACTCTACACTAGACAACGAGTGGTGTAAGGCGCTCTTTTCAACAAGATGCCACGCGCGAAGAAGCCCCTCCCCACCCTGAAGAAGCCCCGCCTCACTGAGCATGAGCGGGGTAGAATTCAAGGCCTGCACGAAGCCGGCGTGAGCGCCCGAGACATCGCGCTGCTGACGGAGCGAAGCCGAGACACAATCGGCCGCGTTATCGCTCCACTCCCTCCCTCCACTACTCTCAAGCGCCCAGGCCCCCTCCTGCCCTTACGGACCGCGAAACGAGGCGCCTAGTGCGCGAAGCGTCCAAGGGCCAGCTCCTCGCCGCCAAGCTCAAGGCCGAGCTGCAGCTCTCCGTCTCGGTGCGCACCATCCAGCGAACCCTTTCTAGGGTGGACTGGTTGGTGTACACAAAGAT